ATTTATAACCTACTATGGGATGTTGTAAGTGTAATAGAGGTAAGAATTTATCTTTTAAATCCGAAAAATTAGTAACTATGAAATCTACCCCTTCTCTATTTACAGCTATATAACCATATCCTAAGTATTTTACGAAATATTCAAATAACTCTTTATCTCTTATGTGTTGACTTAGTACAAATCTTAACTGTACTTGATATCCTATTTTTACAGATGTAGATTTATGTATACAAGGTATCAAAGTCTACATAAGAAGAAAATAGTCCAACAAAGTATTTGAGCAAACTAAAGATAAAAAACAGCCACTCTTCTAACTTTGGTACCATTAATTTCAACGAAAGATCTACCTAATTCTTGTTCAGATAAATAATCTAATTGTCTCTTCACAGTTCTATAATCAACATTTAGAATTTCACCTACCTCCTTTAAAGTAGAAGATAGGATTATTTCTTCTACACCAACTGAGCCCATAGCTGAGGTTTTAATTATTTCATAGACACAATTAGTAGAATGTTTATTTACATATTTTTTAGTTATAGTATCTAACTGACGACCATCAGCTAAATGCAGAACAGCAGGTTTGACGTTTAATAACTTATTTAGTTCTTCCTTAGATAGACTAGTGGATTTCTCGGTTTCTTTTTGAGAAGATAATCTATTGTTATTCATAGTATAAGATATTTTTAATATCAATGCTTTTATGTCTTCCTGTCTATGCGCTCCATTATATATAGCAGCACATATTACCTGTAAATCACGAAAATCTTCACCTTTTTTGGTAATAAAAGTCATTTTATCGGCTCCGCAGCCTCAGTCTTCTTTGCAAAGCAAAGAAGACGCCGAGGCTAAAAAAGGTATAAAATAATTTTTTAAGATATTTGTACTACAAATTACAAGTTTTACCATAGGTTTAGAATTGTTTTTTGCTTTATCTTCAACAATAAAAATAGCGGATGAATTAAGTAATTTAAACTTAGAATACTTATCAAACCCCAGATTATTCTCTAAATAATCCTTGATTTTTACTATGACAGGTAGTTGAACCTTAGTAAGTGCAATCGAAAAAGTTGGTTGAAGTTTATTTCTATCTAAAAAAAATGAACCCTCACCCTCTATAATACCTAATAATCACGAAGGAGAAATTACTATTTGATGATCATTAGGTAATATAAAGTTAGTTCGATTCTTATTCATCCCATTTTTTATTTTGACCAGTTTATCTATAAGAGTTCTTTTATCTATATTATCATTTTCGTAATATAAATAAAAAGCTTTTTTTTAATCTAAGTAATCAAGATATTTAGTAGTGTTTAAGTTATATCTATCAAATATAGATATTAATACATCTATATCTTTTCGAAGTGTAACTGAAAATCTACATCTATCACCGTACACTGCTATTTGATTACCTATATTTAATTTACTTTTTATGTATTCTAAAGCATTAATATCATCACTATGTAAATCTATAATAAATCTAAAAGTAGCTCCTATAATATTCCCCATTTTATCCTTATAAAATGCGATAGTAAAATTAGATTCACCATCTGCAAATCCTACAAATCAAAGATAAAACTCTTCATCTTCTTTCGAAGAAAGGGTAGAATAGGATCTATTACCTCTTAAATTATTAATAGACGACTTCTTAAAGCAAAACTTAATATAACTACGTGAAACAGGATCGTCAGAGGTAAAACACTCTTCCGCTGATATACAAAAAAATCTACTATTACTACGTGAAACAGTACCTCTCCCACCGAGGATAAAACAACATTACGCTGATATAAACCCTGCTAATCAACAAGGATCTATAAATAAATCTGGAGATATAGTTGAATCAGATATTCCTAGTTCATTTGCTGATACAAGATCAGGAAAGGCAGCTTTTAACTCATTAGTAAGACCTTTACCCATTAAAGCTTTTAGAGATACTAACTTTAGTAAACCTTCCTTTGTTAAGTGTTCTCTGTTTTTTATCAAGAAAATATCTTTTTTAAAACAAAGGAAGTCTTTACTTTTCTTGGTTATTAACGGATACTTATCAAAATGTTATATTAAAATCAATAACTCTTTTTTAGACTCCACACGGAATTGTACTCCTTGTTTTCCTTGTGTATATATTTTTCCTATCCCTAGAGTATATTGGATACTTTTTAATATATCTTCGTCTTTCTTATGTAACCCTATTGAAAATACATAGAGTACTCTTCCTTTTTTAGTAATCATATCTATATCTCTAACACTTAATGAGAATGAACCTTCCCCTGATTTTTTTTTTTCTTTTGCAATGTTTGGTGATTGACTTAAGCAAAAGAAAAAAAAAATAAAGCAAACCCTGTTATAAATCAAGGATTTAACTCTAAAGGTGTAGGTAGGCTACTTAAAGATTTCGTATGATATGACCTTATTAAGAGACCATTTAATCGGTGAGGTTGGGTTACATGGGATTGTAACAGAATATTGTTATGATTAGAGGAGGATACACCTTGTGAGTTTAAATCAAAATAAAACTTAAGTAAATTTAGATTAAGATTCTTTATATTCACATATCTTCTTTTTTTTTATATGTAGAGTATACCTTAAGTAGTAATATTATTTACTCTAATACTACTACCAACTACCGTCTACTCGTTGCTCTTTTACAGTAATTATTATGTTACTGACTTAGATCCGCGATACCCTATTTCTCCTTTAGTTTGTTTCTTTTTTTTTTGAAAAAAAACTATAGAAAGGATCATCTTATGACTTATTACCATACATGAGTGATTAGTTCATCCACTAATAGTTTTCAACTATTGCTTGGTATCAAAAAGCTTTAAGGGGTCCCCGGAATTTGATAGTTTGATCCCAAAGAATTTGTTTTCAGGATTTTTACTAGTAATAACCAATATACCTAGTAAGATAGCAATAATGTACAATAAGTCTAAATTAAATACATTATAACCACTAAATGTCATTTCATTAAATATATACAACATATAAAACTGTTCTTTACCCCTTTCATAACTATAATATAGCTATTCTACAAGTAACTATATGCCTAGTCTAAGTTACTATTCTATAAGTACAAATACACCTAGTATATATTACAATAATAATAGCCATAAACAAATCACTGTGCGTATAAGAGTATTAGGTACAGACTGCGCTCTTTATAATGTATTTGTTACATTGTTTGAAATACATCCATATATAAATAGTAAAAGCCTTTTACAATGAATCTCACATATAGAATACTATGAACATTATCCTGGTCTACCATTTATATATGAATGCTATAGGAGACAAGAGATTCGAACTCTTAAAAGCATAATACTATTGAGTTTACAGCTCAACCCTTTTTACCAATAAAGGAAGTCTCCTTTATTCTCTAATACCTCCATATATCATAAGGTAAACTTACTATTTGTATCTATACACTGTAAAACTATCCAAATCTTAGCTAAAAATTTTAACTAGATACAGTTTAAATATGAAAAGTTTCTTTATAAAGCCTTAACTGTAATTATGAATACTACATAACAACACCCGTATTGTAAGCACATATTCAATGGCTGTTTGTCACCCTAGTCCCAGAGGGGGACTGACCTTTAGGTCTGGCGCCTGAAGGGGACCATCCCCTCCCCCCGTAAGCTTTCGGTTCTTTTTATTTTCTTTTGCTTAAACCAACTATTAAACACTGCAAAATAAAAATTAGCCCTCGCGTCTTCATTTCGATTTAGCGAAATGAAGACTGGGGCTGTAATTTTTTTTTTACATTTATCATGATAGATGTAAAAAAAAATAACTGAGAGGATAGTGTGAATTCTGCTTTTACAAATATTTGTGTCCTTTTGCTACAGACTCGAATCAGCATTACATACTTGCAATATACTCCGCTAAGTATATTCTCGATATGTTTATCCTATTTATAACCAAATCTTTAAAGTCTTATTGTTTATGTATTGTAAGTTGACGATGTTTTCCTGTAGCCTTTATCCGAAGAACGACTTGAACGTTCACGACATAACGTCAACAAAGCTTAAATTGGGTAAGGATATAAAGATTCGAACTTGTAACCTCCATTATTACTATAATTAGGGGTTAAACCTGAAGCATTTTCCTTCTGCAAAGGTAAAAGGAATTGCACCCTTAAAGTTGTTGGCTACACCTAACATCCTCCACTTATGTACCTTTTTTTTTTAGTTTTCATAATAAACAATAAAAACTATTAGTTGCTTGAATAAAACAGGAGTTAATTTAAAGCGTTTTACCACTTATTTTTTAACTATGTGATGCTTATTACAAGGTTTATTATTAGTTATACACTTACGAGCATAAGATTCACCTACACCTAAATAATTAGCTGCAGCAGATGTAGAAAGGAATTCTAATGTTTCTTTTGTTTCAATGTTTGTAACTAACACTGGTTTAACCTTGTGGCTGTCCAATGTAATTTTTTCTATAGTGTCTAAAGGAGTTGAAGATTTATAAACAAGAAATTCATTACTTGAATAGAACTCCTTTAAGTTAAGAGTTTTTGCTAAGTAACTATGATGAATACCTATGAATTCTGCAGCTTTCCTGATAGAGATGAAAGATGAGATTTCACCTGTTGCATGGTTTTTTACAATAATATTTACTCCTTTTGACAGTGTAGTTGCAATTTTTAATCTTATCTCATCTGAAATAATATTGTCCTTTTTCTTTAAACTCATAATCATTTTTGTATCATTACTGTGTTTAAAGCCTCTAAAAGATCCTGCAATTTTTAAAATATTATACTCTGGGTTGAATAGATCGATATAGTACTGTTCTCTTTTTAGTATTACATCTAGTTCACAGTATTCTAATATTTCTAACTTGAAGTTAGAATAACCATTTTTAATCATTGATTTATAGATATAACTGTTATTTCTAACAATCTCTCTCTCTAGGAAATTTATATTAAAATACTGTCTGAATCTATCGGATAGGTTTCCTGATGAACCTACGTAACTTTTACCTGTGATCAAGTTAACTCATCTATATATTCCTACTTTATCTTTATTATCCTGAAGTATATCTGTTTTTTTTGTGTCTGCGTTTGGATAAGAAATAACAGGGACGAATATAGTACACGAAGGAGTAATATTGTTATCAGTAGAATAGAAACGATAATTTAAAGATACTATGTTCTTTATTAACACACTAGTATTCGTATTTTTGTATATGGAAAAGATTTTTAGTTTAGTCATGTTTAATGTTTGTGTAACGGTTTTTTATAATAGATGGAGCCTTTCAAAAAGGAAGAAAACAAAAAATAAGCATATAATAGGTAACTCCCAAACTTCCATATATATCTAATAATCCTACCTTAATGCTAAGGTATTGTAGCTTGAGGGATTTTGGTCCTCAACAACGCTCATAATGCAAATGTAACATTACTTACTATACAATATAAGGCCTTAAATATAATTACTTCTAGCAATAGATTAACTTTGTAATACATTTAAGGATGCTCGGCTTGACTTGTGACCAAACCACTTTACATTAAGGAGTTGTATTATAATATATACTTCCCTAATTTCATATCTATTATACACTTATTTTGAAAGACTGGCCCTTTAGATCTATATAGTAAAGACCTCAGGAGATACAAAGACTAGGGTGTCAACCTTCCTTTACATTGTGTCATCTAAGACGTACCTTATAGTTCAATTACTTTTACTTCTAAAGGGGTAATGATGCTACTAATAATATTTTTTGAATAATACTAATATGCCTTTTTAACCACTTTTGAAAAAAAAAGTGGTTATACCTGAGGGATGAGTTGAACATCCATGAGATGAACTCAGAATAGCTTAAGTATTCCCTGTATACCAATTCCAGCACTCAGGTTATATTTATCTAATCCATATTACCAGTAAAGTTCGATAAAGCCAAAGGTTATTTAATTTCTAATTCAGCACCAAAATTAGCAAATGCTACTAATAAAAGCTTTGTGTTAGTTTATTGATCCCTTTGTCCTGTCTACCAATTCCAGCACTCGGATTTTTATTATAGATTTTATAAAAAATAAAACCATATATAAAATTTTTTATGAACTTTATTAGTAATCATGTAAATCCCTGGCACTTCTTTAAGAGAACCAAGATCTAAAGGTCTAGCTAAAAGCTTAGTAATGGCAAAGTAGTTATCTTCTTTCATTTTAGACATATATTGGAAAACCGCAGGAAATCCTTTTTTATGTATCTCTTCTTTTTTCTCTTTACATTCGTGCTTTAAATAAATAACTAAATTAGAAGTAACTAATTTCGAAGAATCGCTATAATATCTACGTGTAAATAAATTTAAATAATTAACCAAACAAATTGAACCTCTTATACCAAAAAATCTGTTACCAACCTGAGTATTAATTCTTTTATTTTCTATTTTTTCCATGCAAGGGTTGAGGGATTTGCACCCTCAGATTTCGTTAGCTACACCTAACTTTCTTCAGTCTCACTCACCCTTTTTTTGCTCATAACAAAAGTATAATCCCCCTTGTATTAAGAGACTTTTTAATCTTAATAAGCAACAATATCTGAAATCTTTTAAATAGTGAGATGGTCTAATTGTTAGCAATTCAATTGGCTTCAACCATCAAATATCACCACTTCTCTTTCCTATTGTTTTCACCCAAAGTCCGTATAATTCCTCCCCTTATCTTTCATGTCAATGCTAAAAACTCTTAATAATTAAGGCCTTACACCTCTTCTCCTAATTTTTTCTTTTGCAGTGTTTAGTTGTTGATTTAAGTCCCGGCGTCTTCTTTGCTTGCAAAGAAGACTGGGACTGTTATTTTTTTTTTTACATATATCATGATATATGTAAAAAATAACCGCAAAAGAAAAAAAAAAAATAATGTAAAACCTGCCAACCAGTTACCATTTATAATCCTTTTACTTGTTGACACAGGTCCCTCCACTAAAGATATGTAGGGAAATTGGGCCACCAATTTTTCAGATAAACCTTTATTCATAGAAGCTTTAATACTTATGATATCAGTAAGACCGTGTGTTATAAGATGTGCACCCTTTTTAATTAAATAAACAGCTTTTTCAAATAAAATAAAATCTGCTCACTTTTGAGAAAGTAAAGAATGGGCTTTAAAGAAAGGAATCACCACATTCAATAAATCCTCCACGGAATTGACATAAAAAGTAATAGCATTATTCGCTAAATCTTTTTTTATATTACCTAATCCAAAAAATGACTGTAAACTACAAATAAGGTGTGAATCTTTAATATTAAAAGAAATAGCCCCGGCGTCTTCATCTTCTTTAGAAGATGAAGACTGGGGCTGTAAAAAATTTTTTTACATATATCATGATATATGTAAAAAAAAAAAAATAACCGCAAAAGAAAGATGGACAGAGTAAATAGTTCTAGAATTATATAATGAACGAGAGGTTTTTCTTGTTCGATTATCTTTTGTAACAGAGATAGTAAACGTGGCCTCCGCATCACATAACCCCACCACATATTCATTGTGTAATGCATTACCTCCTTTTACTACAACAGGTAAAGTTGAAAGTAAAACAATACCATTTAAGAGTCCAAAGTGAGAAAATAAGGGACAAAAGTAAAGCCCACAGAAAATGAATAGCAGTACGCTAACCAAATTATTATTATATAATATTCAAATCATTTTTCTTACCTTGTAAGGATTGAGGGATTTGCACCCCCCGAGTTCCGTTGGCCACCCAACTTATCCCCATCTAGCTAATCCTTTTTTTTTTTTGGTGTATCGTTAATATTAATTTATCCCGGGCTAGTTCCCCAACCCGAACCGTATCAGTTAATACTTCTTCGACCATGTACAAAGTATTTACCTTGTATTTAGGTCTGAGACGAAGTAAATCAAAGTATTTTTACTTTAATTAGAGCATACCTTAATATTCCACCTTGGAACTATTCAGATCCTAGACTTCGGAAATAGAGTTCATACTAATCTAGTAAAAATGAATTATTTCCGTTTTCGATTACAATCTGTAATAAGTGGACCTACAAATACCGTCTGCTCGTTGCTCTTTTATGATCTACCTACTATACATAATCATACTTAAGATAGAGTCAATTTAGATCCGCGATAGCCCATTCAATCTTTCGATTAATCAGTTAAGTTATTGCCATACCCTTTCCATTACGAAAGGCCATCTACTTTTATTGTTTCATATTAGACTTGGCATATACTGCTTTAGGGTGTTCCCGGAATTTGGTATTTTTAGAAAAATAAAAAGAAAGTCTCAATTTCTTTTTGGTTTTCGACTTAACACTAATCAGAGTCACGCATACGAAGATATTCTGCCAAAAGATCTAAACCTGTAAATTTAGACTAGCAAACCGCAGATACCAAACTTATTGCACATACTCCTTTCAGCGCCTGACGAGTGGTTAGTACCTATCTGAGATAAAATTCACCGTGATGTGATTACTCACGATTACTAGTAATTCCTTTTTCATGCAGTCGAATTTCAGACTACAATCCATACTTTATCCTATTTTAGGGATTAGCTCCAATTCGCATTATTGCATCCCTTTGTAACATTCCTCAATTTTACCATGAAGAAAAATAAAAATCAATATCTACTACTGATATTAAACAAATCCTTTCCTAACTTTGTAAACCGTAATACTACAATGAATAAGAAATATTAAGATCTCCCTCTATTTGTACCAGCTTTTAACCTTAGTATCTGATCCAATCCTTCCTTAGTTAGATGGCCTTTTGTCTTAATTATCTCACTTGCCCTACATCAATCCTCGAAATCATGAACTTTTTCACCTAAAATATTATATTGGCGGAAAAATGGGATGATTAAATCTAGATTTTCTGAAAGTTTAGTGACATAAAAATATACTTTGTTACCATTGTGTTCAACGTTTTTTACTACTCTACCACATCCGAAATAAGTAATTAAACTTGTCATAAGTAGTTCATCACGTCCATCTTGAGTAATTTGAAATAATAATTGTACCCCGTATCCTGTTTTAGTGTCCCGACTAACGCTTGTCTTAATAATAAAACAACCTTCACCTGAAACAAACCCTGCTACTCATTGAGGATCTGGTATTTGACAATTTTTTACTTCTTGCCGTGGTACAGGGACAATGTTAGGAAAACTAGCTTGCAGTCCCTCAGACCAACCTCTATTCAAAGATGCTTTAAATGATACAATCTTCTCTATAAATATTTCTCTGGCTATTCTCTGCCTAGAAGACTTATTATATTCAGAGTGCATTAAAACCACCGCCTGTCTAAATAAGAGGTAGTCCGAAAATTTCTTTGAAATTAAGGGGTAGTTATCAAAATGGGGTAATACTTTCGTAATTATATCATCTATAGATCCAATTATGAATTGGTAGCTATCTTTCCCATGCTTTAATATACTACCTTTTCCATCAAAGTAAGCTTGAATTTGTTTCAATAATACTAAATCTTTTTTATGAAGAGCAATAACAAACCTAGCTTCGCAATACCAAGAACTATTTCTTTTTCTAACTTGAATCATAAAACACCCCTCAGCGTCCGTAAATCCTGTAAGGAATAAAGGGGAAATTTTTCAGCATTCTACGTTCATAGGTAAGGATAACGACGATTTAGTAATATCAGTAGAGTAATATCGTTTTGACATATTTTTCTCTTTAGGAAGGGCATTGATTAAAAAAATTCTTTCGAAAGAAATAAGAGTATACCTTAAGCAAGGGGAAAAATTCCCTTGCCAATTACCGTCTACTCGTTGCTCTTTTACAATATCAGATTTAAAGTCGGTAGGTGTTGAATTTTCTGATATTGATTTAGATCCGCGATTGTCCATTTCGTTTTCACTCATCTTCTGACTTGTTACCGTATTTGAGTAATTAGTTCAGCCACAAATAGCCTTTCGACTACTGCTTGGTATCAGAAGCTTTAGGAGTTCCCCGGAATTTGGTAATTTCACCCACCTTAACGGCACCCTAAGCCGAAAAGTAGGCATATGTGGCACGTCTATCATGGAAATCAAATTTAACATAGTAATCATTAAAATGATAATAATTTATCATTTTCTATTTAAGTTTATATTATTCGCAATCTCTGTAATTTTATTTAAACCCTCTTTACTTAAATGTTCTTTATTTTTTACTAATTCAGCCACATTACATCAATCATTGAAATCTAAAGCCTTTACACCTTTTATAGAGTATTCTTTAAAAAAAGGTATGATTTTATTATCTATGTCTGAGTTATTTCTAAATTGCAATAAGCAAGTTTGGTTCTTTTCAGAACATTGAATAGACATTTCTTTATTGGAAGTAGTTACATGGGAATTGTATAAACTAAAATACTTTGCGATTCCCTCTAAAAGAGTAGTTTCTCTAATATGTAAACAAGTGTCAAAGCATAACCTAACTCTTTTACCAATTTTGCTGGTAGAATTTTCTATAGAAACCCTAAACGAAGAATCTCCAGTAGCAAATCCAGAAATTCATAAAGGATTAGGTATACCATTAAAAACATACTCTTTTCTAGTTACAGGTAGGACTAAAGGGAAAGCTTCCTTTAATTCAGGAGATAAACCTTTATTAAGTGAAGCACGTAAATCTAAGATTCTTTTAAAACCATCCGACGTTAAATGCTCTTTCTTTTTAATTATGTTAAAACATTGTTCAAACAATAGGAAATCAGAATACTTAGCACTAACTAACGGGTAATTTTTAAAATGATCTATGATTGTTTGTAACTCTTTAATATCACTAACTCTAAATAGAACCGTGTTTTCATTGTTTTTACGAAGAGTACCGACTCCAAAAGTTTTATGAATTTGTTCCAATAATAAAACATCTTTAACATGAATGTGAATAGAAAAGTACGCCGAAACTCTTCATTTAAACTTACTTTTCTCATCTCTATAAATAGAAATAATAAAAGAACCTTCAGCATCTGAAAAACCTGTTAGGAATCAAGGATCTAGGTTACATTTTGCTAAAGTATTATAATTTTTACTTAATGACACCTTAGTAAGGATTTTGATCTTACTACTTTAAAATATATTTGAAAGCAGGCCTGCGTTATAAAAACTTCGGCAACCTCTCTCAAGGCCTATTAGTGTATACCTTAAACTTCTTTTTATATTTATTGGATTGGCTTTTATAAAAAGAAGTCAACTACCGTCTACTCGTTGCTCTTTTACAGAGCTTAACACAAGATTTTTCTTATGATCTATTTTAAACTCTGATTTAGATCCGCGATTGTCCATTTCATTTTCATTCATCTTCTGACTTTTTACCGTACATGAGTAATTAGTTCATCCACTTGTAGCCTTTTGACTACAGCTTGGTACCAGAAGCTTTAGGATTTCCCCGGAATTTGATAGTTTTAGCCAATCTAGTGTCTTCCTAAAACACTTATCAGCCCACAATATTAAGGCCATGATGACTTGTCTTAGTCCCTATTATCACATCCAATTGTAAGCGGAGAGCTGCTTTATACTAATAAATAAAACAAGGGTTTACGTTAATTTAATGGACCTAACCAAATCTCACGACATTAACTGAAGACAGCCATGCAACGCATGTGGTCTAAAAATATCAAAAATATTTTAGGTCATTCAAATTGTGGTAAGGTTATTCGAGGATTATCGAATTAAATAGTCGAGATAGGTAGGTCTTCTCAGACTTTCCCCCTCTAAGAACCGTACGTGCGACTTTCACCGCATACGGCTCAAACAGAAGTCTTCGGTTTTATCCTAGCAGCCATCGCCGCAAACAAACGAACTTTTTTTTTAGACAACATACATAAAAGTTCATTTATCAGACCCTGCCGCATGTTAAGTCAGCTATTATTTGTATAAAAATTCTTTATAGCAAATAAATTAACTATTCTTTATTTTCTTCTCTACCGTAATTCATATTAGCTTTAATAAGGTTTATTTTTTGCAGTCCTTTTTCGGTTAAGTGTCCTTTCTCTTTCATAATCTCAACGACTTCTTTAAAGTCTTGGAAATTTAAAAGCTTTGAACCTTGTAATGGATACTTTGTAAAAAATGGAATAATTTTCTCTTCAAAACTCTTAAAAGAATTAACTGTAAAGTCAGAAGCATTTGTCTTACGGTTTTCTATTCTACCACAAGCAAAGTATTCCGATATACCTTTAAGTAATTCATTGTCTCGGTTATGTTGAGTGATTTTAAACACTAATTGAACAGCATATCCTAGTTTAGATTTTAATGATTTATAAGTGCTAATGTAAAAACAAGCTTCACCTTCAGCAAATCCAGATAATCATAAGGGATCTGGTATTCCTTTAAAGGGAACAGCAAGTTTAGGGACCGGTAGTGTATTAGGAAAATATGTTTTCAGTTTATCACTTAATCCTAAATTCAATGAAGCTTTAAGATTTACAATGTCTTGTAAACCCTTACAGTTCATATGTTCTTTATTTTCAAGCATTTTATTTATTGGAGTAAATATTTCAAAGTCAGCACGTTTTTGTGTGACTAGAGGATATCTATTTAAATAAGGAATGATCACATTAGAAATGTCACTTACATTACTAACTTTCCACTTAAATGTATTATCACTTTTATTGTGGTAAATATTACCAACGCCGAAAGTGTTTTTAATACGCAATAGTAAATCTTTGTCTTTAAAATTAAGGCCCATTTCTAAGAAAATCGAAATAGCAAATCCGGAATATCGTGAGTCATCTTTAATAATAACTACTCCGAAGCTTCCTTCTGCGTCAATTAAGCCTGTAATAAACCAAGGGTGAAGTAAATTAGTTTTAATCATAGTTTTGTTATATTGACCCCTCTCATGGCGTATATATTTCCCTCGAAAAAAAGGGGTAGTGTACGCTTGAAATAATATATTTATTCTTTTATACTAGCTAACTCCTAGTCTTTTTATAACACTGCCTTACCTAAACCGTTAAAAATCAAATATGAATCCTTCGAAAAAAAAAAAAAAGAAAAGTTAACTATATCCATAACAGAGACTATCGTCAATAGAAATCTAATGTTAGGCATTTGCTTTTTAACTTCTCCTTTCCCCTTTATCCGGTACAACAACTTCGAGTAGTTCTTATATGTTGCCTCTTCTATAATGGTGTTTAGATTCATGTAATCTAAAGTTTATGATTATAGCTGAAAATAAAGGGGTTACCAAGTTCAGATAGTAGTACAATTTGCGTAAAATTTAGGAGGATAGCTTTACTCCGGTGGAATATGGTTTCTCTAATAGATTAGTATGTAAAATCTATTCCCTTCCACATATATCGAGTAGTTTATCGAAGCGTCGCTGCTATCTTGACTTTCGCTCTCCATGTTTTACTTACACTAGCTCCTGGAAAAAAAAAAATTGTTTTTTTTTTTACATTGTCATATAAGACAGGCTACATTGTCCCTGCAGCTTCACACTAATCATTACTAATTAGCATGTGCAGGTAGTGTTAGGCAGAGAATACCTAGTGGGATCGCACCACATTACTACTATCCGCTTCTTGTCGCACACATACTTCACTACTGGTTTCAGAAACGGTCTAATGATTTCAGTTCCTGCGTTGCCACATTACTCTTGAGGTGGAGTGCTTCCACTTTCATTTATAGTTCCGCGTTAAAGCCAACCTATGGCACTCATCATTGTCTGCCCAGGCTACGGGGGTATCTAATCCTCTTCACTATCTGAGCCTTCGTCCCTCAACGTCAGTTATAGCACTTTGCTTTTTACTGTTCATCATCAAATCATCCCTTTTAAAAGTAAACATATTCTTTATTAGAACAATAAGCAAGTACATGTACATAGAGGTTTGCCTTCGCCGTTACCGGTCCTATTGGTATTAACAAATTTCATCTTTACACCAACAATTCCGACATATTCCTCTCACATATCAAACTCAAGTGTAACAGGTTCTTAATTAAGCCGCCTTTGCACACCGTCTAGGTACCCTATATACCTGTTAAAGATGAATAACACTCGTCTCCCTTGTCTTACCGCGACTGCTGGCACAAGATTTGGTCGAGACCTATGGATATAAAGTTTTCATAATAAGCTTTATCCAGAACTTTATAAGACCTAGTCAAGCAAGTTAATAAACTTATTATATTAACTCTCATTCCTGCAAGTTGCTGGTTCAGCCGTTAGGCCATTGACCAAAATTCCTCACTGCTGTACTACACGCACTGGGGTTTTTTCAGACCCAGTGTGGTCAATAGACCTCTCAGTCCTGACTACGGACACTAGCTAAATATGACATTACCATACTTAATACTTATCCGATGGTTATTAATAATCAACTAAGAGCGAAATACTATTTCTTTTAAACATATTTATATGATGAACCTTCCATCTAACCTTTTCAACCATATTGGCTGCTGGTGGGTTATTAGGTCTAGGCTATATTTTAATAAATTGTTATTATAAGGGATTTATTTTGCCTTACTCCTAGGTAGCCATAATACCGCTTACTCACCTGTACACCACTTCAATATAATAATTTATACAAATTAAATATTGACGTTCGATTAGCATGTGTCAAGCATTTGCATAGCGTTCACTCAGAGCCATCATCAAACTCAAATAATGTAAAGTACTATTTATTATCTAACCATATATTATATAAGCTAAATAAGATAGTACATTAGGATCTATTTATTCTAACTATCTTTCTTATCTAAGACTCGAACTTAGACTAAGATATTAGGAATATCTTGTTCTACCATTAAACTAATAAGAAAACTTTTTTTGGTAATAAAATACACATAATTATAAAATGTAATGAAAAGCTATTACAATATAAGTAAATATAGTTATAGCATGAAATGAATAGCTATTAATATAGCCACAGTTATTCTTATCTAAGACTCGAACTTAGATTCAGATATTAGAAGTATCTTGTTCTACCATTAAACTAATAAGAATATTTTATACTATTAAGAATATTTTATACTAATTATCTAATAATACGTAAATTAGTATATATTACATAAAACTTCTCTATTTACCTAATAATAACCTCGGGTTATGTTTATGTGTAACCCATTACATAACTACTACTATTAAATATTATAAAATTAAAGTACCTATAGTTTATTTATTGTAATATGATATAACTACATTACCGTTATATTTTACAATAAATAAGGCGTAAAATCTTAAAAAACGGTACTATTTATAGTCTTTAATCCCAATTTTTTTTTTCTAGTATACCATTACATTACTATTAAATTTAATAATTATATAGACTTTATAAAACTCATCTCATTTTTATTATTATATATAACTATATAATCACTCTTTTTAATAAAATATTACATGTAATGACTAAAAAGAGTGATATGTTATCCTAACTATATATACGGGCTTTATGACTGCTTTTTGCATGTAGAAAGTATGGTCGGGTTTTTTGAGTTTGTAGGGTTATTTTTTTTGGTTTTCTTTTGCAATGTTTAATAGCTAATATAAGCAAAAAAAAAACAAAAAAGCAGTAAGAATTGCTACAACAACCCAGTAAACAATTTTTCATTAGAACCTTGCTTCGGCTCTTTTTTATAAATATCTACGTTTCCTTTCTTTTTTGCCTAGAGCTATATGGAAGTGATCTTATTGCTTGAATAATCTAATCTACAGACGCTTGTAACGTTCTTCTGAATATCCCGTTACTTTTTCTCCTACAGTTTTCTAATGTAAATCATCTCAATATTTCAAAAAATATTTCTCAAATAAACAGGTTTGGCTGATTTTTTTTTCTTTGGTTTAAATCTAATCGAACAATAACAAAAAAATAAGAGGCTAATTTTTTTTTGCAAGACACTGTACCATTAACCTGGTTACAGCGCAGTTATCTTGAAAATAGGTCGCTATGCCTGATAATGCCTCTGTGGTGCATGAAACCGAGCTGAATGCTAAGGAAGAGATGATTACAAAATTACAGAGTACGTTGGATGATAAGGGTCAGCATATTAAGACGCTTGAAAAAAAAAATATGGCAAACCTGAAGAACCATGAAAGAAAAGCAAGAAAAGCAAGAAAAGCCAGAAGGAGTTAGAAGAAGTGAAAGACCATTAAAGGAGGGTTGGTAAACAGATCTTATAGTATTTCAACCGTTATGTCTTTTTTATTAAAGAAAAGCAGTTTAAGGGGATTGCACTTTATTTAATAGGGTCAGAGACCGCAGGAGTCGAACCTGTCATTAATAAAATTATTTCTTAGCTATAACAAGAGCCCCCCCCCCCTTTTTTTTAGATTTCGGAAAACGCTAATATCACAGGGTCTTTAGGGATAGAGTATTTGAAAATGTGCGATGTATTCCATAATAAAGTGAATTAAAAAAAAAAAAAGTAAATTTACTTTTTATGTTTAAGACTATTCTGTCTTAACTTTTTTGCATGTAACTATGTTTAAGACTATTCTGTCTTAACTTTTTTGCATGTATCTATGATTTCATATTTTATATACCTTAACCGGTATATCTGTCATATCTTGTTATCAGGTTATATATTGAATTATATTACTATACATTACGTCTTGTAATATGATTGCATATTTTTGTAAATATGTTAAAAAGAATTTGCAAATAAATTCTATATTCTTATATAAGAATCTTTTGTGAAATAAAGGGATTATCTTATCTCTAGTAGATATTAGTTTTATGTAATATGGTATAATATGCTAACATAACGCTTTTTAGTTATTATAGTATTTAATTTGTTCTTAAAATTAACGACATTAAATAGTAGTGCTAGTCCAGGAGGATGTTTTACTAAGGCTTTTTAGTTATAACAGTATGTAATTTGTTCGTAAAACTAGTAATAGTTAGTAATATACTAAAGATGTATATAACTGGAGAAGGTGGAGTAGGATAAAGGCCATGTTTTGGCTGTGGTTATTACATAATGGGTTTAATACGCCGAATATTATTTACGTATGAGTCTAACAGCATTAGCATTATCTAAGTTATACTTATTTATAAATATAATAGCAGAGGGTAAACTGAAACTAGAAAGTACAATACTGTTTTGTTTATAATATCTTTATCAAAAAGGAGCATCTCACCGATTAAGTTTAATTAAAAATTAGATCTTTAACAGGTAAATCTAAAAAAAAAAGCTTCCAAAATGATTACCTGCTTAGGTAGAGCATTCCGTTTGTATTTTCCATTTTTTTTTTTTTCAAGGTTTATGTGCATATTAGCTTATTTTATGGTTAAATTAGGCTTAATTTTCTTTTTTTTTCTATAACCCTAATCTAAAACATTTTATAAAAACTTGTGATACAGATGTAATTCATCTTTTTCGGTAGTTTACAATTAAGAGAAAAGTAGGGAAGTCCAGTGATTTAAAGTTTGCTTTTAAGAGCGAGGCGTAAGCTTGGGTAATACACAGAGATTGTAGATATAAAAACTTTTACTAGTTTATTATATGCATGTAATAAAAACCCTTAATGAATCTTTATTTTAGTTAAACATTACATACAGGACCCGGCTTATTTGTATCCAAGTTTTAGTAAAATTGCTATATAGTAATATCTTATTATATTTTTGCTTTTTGTTTTCTTTTGCTTAAATTAACTGTTAAACATTGCAAAAGAAAAAAAAAAATTTTTTTATACTTATAGTCATATAAAATATATACATATGTTTAATTATATAACGATAGTAAGTCCTCTTGACCAATTTGAAATAAGAAATTTATTTAGCATAGATACACCGCTATTGGCTAATATGAACTTGTCTATAACTAATATAGGGTTATACATGACTATTGCAGCTTTTATAGCTTTCTATTTCAGTATACTAGCTACTAACCACTCTAAAATTACTCCTAATATATGATCTTTAAGTCAAGAAACATTATATGCTACTATACATAGCATAGTTGTAAATCAAATTAACAATAAAAGTGGTCAAGCTTACTTTCCATTTATGTATGCCTTATTTATTTTTATTTTAATAAATAACCTTATAGGAATGGTTAAAAGGAGCCTGCGTATATATATTATACAAACATTTAGCTTAACTAATTTAAAAAACAAAATAATAAGACTATATTTTTCAAATACCTCTAATCACCCTAGATATCACATGAATCATGCTAACTATCTTAATCCTTATTATATTACTGGTCTTGTTGATGCAGAGGGTTGTTTTACAACATCTATTTATAAAGATTCTAGAATGAAAACAGGATGGCAAATTAAACCTATATTTCAACTTAATTTACATAAAAAAGATCTAAAAATATTAGAAGCTGTACAAAAAACATGAGGTGTAGGTAAAATTTATAAATATGGTCAAGATTCATTTATGTATCGTGTTAGCTCTTTAAAAAATTTAAGAGTAATAACAAATCATTTCGATATTTATCCTTTAATCACACAAAAATTTGCAGATTACTTGTTATTTAAACAATCTATGGATTTAATAGAGAAAAAGTTACATCTAACTGACAAAGGTTTACTAAGATTAGTGGGTATAAAATCTGTATTAAACAGGGGTTTATCTGATAAATTTAAAGAAACATTCCCTAAAAGGATAAAACTAGTAAGACCAAATGTTAACAATTCAGAAATAAAAGATGTTTATTGACTAATAGGCTTTGTTGAAGGGGAAGGATCTTTTATGATTACTATTCAAGAATCTAAAAGCAAAAATATAGAAAATATAGGTTTAAGATTTGTAATAACTCAACACTCTAAGGATTTAAGTTTATTGGTTATTATTTCAAATTATTTAGGTTGCGGTAAATGTTATTTTAACCGTAATGAGGTAAATTTAATGGTTTCAACTTTTTCTGACATAAATCTTAAAATTATATCTTTATTTAATAAATATCCCTTACTAGGAACTAAAAAGGAAGATTACCTATATTTCTGTAAAGTAGCTGAGTTAATTAAATCTAAAGATCATTTAACAAAGGAGGGTATAGAAAATATAAAAAGAATTAAAAGTAATATGAATAGTAAAAGAATACAATCTTAAATAAAGATCTTAGATCTAAAATATTCTCGACCCCTATATTTTGTTTTCAGTTACGCTTTATCATTATTGATAGTATATTACGTTAAATTTTACTATATGCTGGAAACTTCTAATACTTTAGATACGGTCATTTATAATTAATTTTACTATATTTCTATGATTTATTATCTTTAAAAACCGTAAGAACTCTAAAGATAAAACAATGAATTACCAGCAGGAAACCAACAGGTACTACTCATACTTTTTACAAAAAATAGTGTATACTAGAGGGATCCTCAGAGACTACACGTAAAAGGCTGCTCATGTTGTTAAATAGAGCAGTTAAGATATAGTCCGACTTGATATGTCTATATGTATATCAATAAGTCCTTATAGTTTTGCATCAACATCTCACTTTATATTAACATTCTCACTTAGCTTTACTGTAGTATTAGGTGCAACAGTTTTAGGGTTTAAAGAACATGGATTAAAATTCTTTTCCTTATTTGTTCCAGCTGGTTGTCCTTTAGGGTTACTACCTTTATTAGTATTGATCGAGTTCATAGGGAAGTTAATAGATTTCCATTGTGATTAAGAGCCAAATTCCGGGGAAGCCCTAAAGCTATTATTACCAAACATTAATCCTAAAAGGGATACGGTGCGGATGTTGTAATTAAACATGTACGGTAAGAAGATAATAGATAAACCAAGAGGTTTAATGGGTAATCGCGGATCTAAAACACCTATCATCTAATATTGAATATATCGGATTGATGTGTAAAAGAGCAACGAGTAGACGGTTCTTAGGTATTGTATTCAATACCGTAAGGTGTACTCTAGTCGCCATGAAAGTGGTTTTTGAGTAGAATTAAGTAACTCAAAATGAAAGTTTCTGTATTAGTTTTGATCTATAAATAAAAATTCTGTGTATATAACATATACGGGTTTGTGGAATTTTACTTAACTTTCCTCCTACTACTCGCAACATGACACCTAATAATTATTATTCTGTTGCAACTAAAATAGATAAAGGTATGTTATTAAGTCGGTCTGCATCTGTATTATTTAAACCTTGCGGCCTATATAGTAAAAGAACTCTGTCTACATCTTCTGAACCAATAGCTGTTAGAGTTTATATTAATCCTGATAAGGACAAAGAATTAATAGTTAATGAAAATAAAGGACGAACTGGTATTTATCGTTGAGTACACATAGAATCAGGGAAAAGTTATATCGGATCATCTGTTAAATTAAATATTAGATTTAGACAGTATTTTAATTATAATCATATCGCTTACCCTAAACGGAATATGGCAATATATAAGTCGCTGTTAAAACATGGTTATGCGAAGTTTAGATTGGAGATTTTAGAATACTGTTCTACCGACAAATTATTACAAAGAGAGCAATTTTACTTTGATACATATAACCCTGAGTATAATTTATTAAAAATAGCAGGGTCACAATTAGGAAGTATACATTCTGAGGAGACTCGAGCTAGTATCTCAAGGGCTAGAATTGGTAAAAAGTATTCTGATGAAACTAGAGCTAAAATGTCTAGTGCTCAAACAGGTAAAACCTTATCTAAATAAACTTTAGCTAAAATGTCTATAGTTAGAGTAGGGAAACCCCTATCTGAAAATACCCGAGCTAAAATGTCTAGTTCAAAAGCATGGGTAAATAACCCAATGTTCGGGAGAGCTCTCCCCTTTGGGAGAAAAACACCCTATGTTCGGAAAATCTAAACCTGAAGGATCTGGAAAACTCTCTAAAAAAATAGAAGTAACTGACATTGTAAATAATACAACAAGTATCTATGATTCTATATCTGCAGCTGCATTAGGTTTAAATATAAGACAAACAACTATTTCTACGTATATTAGTAAAAATCAAAAAAAACCCTATAAAGATAGATAATTTTTCAAGTTAAATAGCAGTTTGTAAGAGAATCAACCCGTAATCTTAAAAGAAAAGCTTTATTAGGTAGTACTTTGGATAAGGAACATTTGGAGAAAATGCGTCTAAGTAATATTTTAAGACAGTCTGTTTTGCTAACTAAATCGGAAACAGGTGAAACTCAAGAATTTTCTTCTATGACAGAGACTGGTATATTTTTAGGTATATACCGTGTTACCGTACGAAAATTTTTATTAAATAATTTGTCTTACAAGGGTTATACTTTTTCTAAAGGCCCTTCAAGTAACACAGACAGAAATTTATCTGTATCTGAGCCATTGTCTAATTCCAATTTTGTTATGCAACAGCCTATACGACTAACTACTAAGTTAATAGGTGTTTCCAAAGAATTTTCTACTATGAGAGAAGCTGCGGAATATTTGTAAATTTCTAGGGCGGCACTCGCACTCTGATATTTTTTAAAAAATACAGCTAACACCGAGAGCGAAACATTAAAAGGGTATATTATTACCAAAATAGCGGATACTCATGTAAAAGTTAACAGGAAATCTATTAAAATAGAGGTTACTAATATTGACACGAATGAAGTAACTATATACCCTTCGTTTACTTTAGCTGCTGAAGCTTTAGATATACCTCGGGCTAGTTTATCAGGGTATTTAGCTAAGAAACGTACGAATGCTTATATAAATAAATATTATTTTAAGTTAGTTTAAACACGCTTATAATATACTAACATACTTATGCTCAATAGATTATTTATACGCAGGGGCGGGCTACACCCCACCATGATGTTTCATAGGTTAGGGTAGCTCGCAGATCAAAACATTCATTTAATACTAATACAGTCGCTCATATCTAGCAAGGAATGTATCTTTGGGGCTTAGACTAGCAGCAAACATATAAGAGTGTGAGTAGGCGTCTTACTTAATGTGTATAAGAGCCAAATTACGGGTAAGCCCTAAAGCTCTAATAACTAAAGATAAAAAGGAAACTTATTATCCGGCCTGATTAATGCCTCAGGGTATAGTAATATCATTAGAGATTCTAGCTATAGGAATGGGTGATCGCGGATCTAAATCAGTAATACCTGGGTGTACGCTTTCATGCTACGAAACCAGGTGTTTACTGTAAAAGAGCAACGAGTAGATGGTTCTTTCATTATATTAAGTCTAATGTTAAGGCATTATTTTAAGTATAATGATAAGGTGTACTCTTGTCGCCGGGAAAGCCGGTTCTTAGGAGAAACTAAGTAACCTAAGATTAAAGATATATCAATAGCCTATCCTCATTACATATTACTTCGGTACATTCGTAATATTTGAAGTTTATAGTGCAACACTTTAAAGAAAGGATAAAGTACATAAACACCTTTAAATCTAATACATTATAATAATATAATTCATTAGGGTAATATCACATGTTTAATTAAAAGTATGGATATATAAGGCGTCCCTACAACTTTTTATTTAAAACAATATATAAATATATACATATTCATTTGAGGATAAATTTGTTGAACCTTTATTTATGCCAGCAAAGCAGCCCCAGTCTTCATTTCGCTAAATCGAAATGAAGACGCTAGGGCTAATTTGATTTTCTTTTGCATTGTTTAATTATGGGTTTAAACAAAAGAAAATCAAAATAACCGCAAGCTTGTGGGGAGGTAATAAATAAATATTTTATCCTTAATTAAACTTATCCTTCAGGTATGGAAGAGAAATTAAGTTTAAACACATCTATTTATACTCAAAAAAGGTTTCATTGAATTCACTGTCAAAGACGAATTGGGCTCACATCTATTAGTTTAAGTAATACACACTTCACGGCAAAAAGGTACATAAGTACTATGTCTACTTCATCTGAATATGAACCTGTTATAATTTATACTAAGCTTTATTAGCATAAAGGATGGATTATTAAATAAAATAAAGGTAAATCCGGTATATATCGGGTACGCTAAAAAAAAATATGGAATATTTCTTTTTTTTTTTTAATCCGTCTTCGATACGTTGTCTCTTACTTTTTTTTTTTATATCTTGAATTTATAAAGTTAGACGACGAGGCTAATTTTTTTTGTTTTCTTTTGCTTATGGTCAGTTGTATGTTTTAGTCCCGGCGTCTTCTTTGCTTGCAAAGAAGACTGGGACTGTAATTTTTTTTTTACATATATCATGATATATGTAAAAAAAAAAAAACCGCAAAAGAAAACAAAAGAGTTAATAAATATTCAGGAAAAAGTTCTATAGGTTTTGCTCTATGTTCAATGATAGATTTAGACGATACTTTAATCATAGCTATCTATCGAGCAGTAAGCGAGGAGCATCTCTTATTTCTAAGGCGCTTTTAAAATACGGTTGTGATGGCTTTAGGTTAGAGATATTAGAATATTATACTAGTTCAATAGAACTGACTAGAGAGCAATTCTTCTTAGATAGATTTAACCCTTAATATATTAAAAGTAGCCGGGTCAAATTTGGGATAAAAACATAGTGAAGACTCTCTAAAACTTATGAGTGATGCATACAAAAAGAGAAATGAATTAGAAGAGGTCCTTAAGTTTAAAAGAGAGGTTATGTTAAGACAAAAATTGTCTAAAGACCATATATAAAGAATGGCTAAAAATAATCCCTTTAAAGTGTCTATTATTCTTTCTAATATCGAAATAGGAAAGAGAGAAGAATTTACTTCTATGACGCAGGCTGCTCTCTTCTTAGGTATACGTATGACTACGGTTAAAAATATTTAATGGAGAATAAGCCATACAATGATTATACGAGTACTAAAGCTAAATATGGGTTAGATTCCTCTTCTATTTTCAATCTTATTAATGAATGACAGGCTGTTAGATTAACCAATAGTGTTTTAGGTATTACCAAAGAATTCTCTACAATGAAAGCCGCATGCCGATTTTTGGGAATATCTCCTAGACGGCTCTCAAATTATTTAAAAAATAGCGAGTCTTCGTTTGCAAATGAACAGGTTAGTACCATTAAAGGATAAAATATCACCAAGCTAGATTCAGTTAAATGTAATTGTAAAGCTATAGAAGTAACTAATACTTATACAAATGAAGTTACTAAATATTATTCGGTTAGTTCAGCAAGTGAAGCTCTAGGTGTATCTTCGGTGGGTATTTCTACTTAAAGTCCGAAACGTATTACTCCTTACAAAGATATATACCTTTTTAAATTAATTTAAGTTATCTAGCTGAGTAAAAGTGTGCACAATTAATATATTATTTTGCTTATTAACGTGAACCCAGTATATATTTATACTTAAAATATAATTAAACCTTTTAAAATATTTGTTCAAATTAGTAAACTAGAATAATGTGGTATACGCCGAGTACTCTACCCTCCTTTTTTTTTTATAAAAATTTATAGTAATAGAACTGTACTTAAGGTAATAAATAGAATGAGGATGAATTTGTGCACGATTATCAGGGCACATGCTTTTAAATATCTTAAGTGGATTTACATACAACATTATGAGTTCAGGTATCATTTTCTTTATACTAGGACTATTACCATTGGCGTTTATAATCGCCTTCTCTGGTTTAGAATTAGGTATTGCCTTTATACAATCACAGGTTTTTGTAGTTCTATCTTGTTCCTATATAAAAGATGCCTTAGAATTACACTAATTAATATAACTAACGGTGGTTATTTTTGTTTTAAATAATTATGATCTATCTCTATAAAAGTCATATTAAATAAAAAAGGGGTGTGTAGCATAGGGCTATGCATTTTGATTGCAGATCATAAATATAAGGTTCAACTCCTTCATACCCTTATATAATGTATTGTTTTCTAAAAGGAATTATATTTTACCATAAAAAACAATCCCCTGCGGGGATGCCCTCAGGTATCCCAAAGGGGATCCCTTCGGGATAGGGTTTAATTCTTTTTTACCCCAAAGACCTATATACCGCAGATAACTTTTTTTAATAGAGTATAGTTCTAGAAACGGGGATCCTAATTTGCACCTATTTAATCTTATTAGAAATTTGTGTTAAAATAAATAGTATTACAACAAAGGGGAGAAGAGTAAATATCACTTAACTAAAGCCCTAAAAAAAAAAAGAAAATAGAGGATAGGTAGTTCTAAGAACGCCTGTTGGCTTTATAAATATAATGTTAAACAAATTACTTTATAAACGTATGTGGCTCTTGTAAATTAATAGGTTTTTACTATATAAAGTGTAATAAAACAAATAGAAACTTTTTAAATCTATATTGTTATAGAAAATAAATAAGGAAAGCAGATATATTACTATAGTAAATTGTGATAAATGTAGTTTATACAAGTATAAAACTAAATCTTTTATTACTATAACCGAAAAAAAAAAATTATTGACAAAAAAGTCAAAGTTAGTGTAGCAAAATTGTCTGTTTTAGCAATATATATTATACAAACTATATATATAAATACACTTCGCACTAAAATACGTGTGAATAATTGCTTCCAGAATAATTGGTATGACTCTCCAAACAAGATTATATTATCTGAGGATAATAGGCATAATCACTTGAATATACAAACATCCGGGATTAGTATGTGATTTGAACGGTGATTCTTATCTTCAAATGCTAAGGATATTGGTGTACTATACTTAATCTATGCATTGTTTTCAGGTTTAGTGGGAACTGCTTTTTCTGTGTTAATTAGGTTAGAACTATCAGGGCCTGGTGTTCAATATATTGCAGATAATCAATTATATAACAGTATTATAACGGCTCATGCTATATTAATGATTTTCTTTATGGTCATGCCAGCTTTAATCGGAGGATTTGGTAATTTCCTGCTACCATTAGGACTAGGAGGACCTGATATGGGATTCCCTAGACTTAATAATATTAGTTACTTAATGTTAATTCCTAGTATAGTTCTATTCTTATTTGCAGGTGCTATAGAAAATGGAGTAGGTACAGGGTGAACTCTATACCCACCATTATCCGGTATACAAAGCCATAGTGGTCCAAGTGTGGATTTAGCTATATTTGGATTACATCTTTCTGGTATATCATCTCTTTTAGGTGCTATGAATTTAGGATTAAATGTATTTCTTACATATTTAAGACATTCAACAAGCTTTCAATTGACAGTTAATAAATGTTACTTTAGTAGCAATAAACCAAAATATATGTTTAAAAACAACTCTGAAAAAGATAATAATTATGGTGAGGATAACAATGGAAAAGACAATAACTCTAAAAAAAAGGGTTCTCCTGAAAACAAGGATAAACCTAAATTGGATAATCGTTGAAAAGAGATATTGGGTAGAACAGGCCCTAATAAACATGCACATGTAATAGCTGTAGAGCAAATGAATCGCGGTGGAATTGTGACAGCTGAAAAAATTAATGAAATTTTAGCTTACTGTAATATTAAAATTACAGAACAAGAATTAAAATCTTTAATAGATACTGCAAGTTTTACTTTAACTAATTTAGATCAAAAAAGTATAACTAAGGATGTTCTTAAAGATAAACTTGGTTTACCTAATAGTAAACAAAGAATTCCTGGTATATATATCTTTACACATACTACTACAGGTAGAAAATATGTAGGTTCATCATCACAGCTGGCTTTTAGATTAAATGGCTATATTCATTTGTCTCATAGAAAGAGTGGTTTATTAATCCCTTTATTACATAAAGAAGGATTGAAAAATTTCTCTTTACAAGTTTTTCCTTTTTACCATAATTACATTAAAGGGTCAGAAATTGCATTAGAACAATATTATTTGTTAGACTCTAGTTTCACATTAAATACCATAAGAGTTGCAAATAATCCTAGCGGGTCAAACTCAAAGAGTTTATATATGTATAACAGAGATATGAGTATATTATATTTTTTTGCAACAAAACAAGTAGATTTTATTAGAAAATTAAATGTTCATCATATTACATTTTCTAAACATTTAAAAAACGGTACTTTTTATTTAGATAAGTATCTTTTTTCAAGTGAACCAGTGTTAACTGCTAAAGTTAAAGATATGTCTGATTTAGATTTAGCTTTAATGCTGGAAAAGGACAGAGTTAAATACAATAAAAATAAATCTCTTAATAGTTTATCTAAACCTGTTAGATTAACATGTGTGGATAATTTAGAAAACACTATTGTGTTACCTAGTTTAGGTAAATGTGTGGAATATTTACATAACAAAGGTTTATCTGCTTCTCAAGTAACATTAGTTAAACACATTGATTTAGGTAAAGCATATAAAGGATATTTATGTGAATATGTGAAAGAAAATACGTTGTAATGGGATTCATATAAAATTTTTAACTGTATGCTGGGATAGCTCAGTGTTTATAAGTACTTAATAGTAAAAATCTTGTAAGCTATGCTTAATCAGCAGGAAACAAAAGTAATTTTGATTATGATAAGATTCCTCAGAGACTACACGTTAAAGACCGTATATTAATACGCTTAAGATATAGTCCACAAATAGTTACTATTTTAACTATTTTTAGTCATGACAACTACATTCAATATGAGAAGTCCTGGTATTAGACTACATAAATTAATCTTATTTGCATGAGCAGTTGTTATTACAGCTGTTTTATTATTATTGTCTTTACCTGTCTTAGCCGGTAAACTAATTCTGCCGGCTCTAAATTTGGCCGTATTCTGGGAACCGTTATACGAAAGTATATCGCAATCAGCAGGTAATCTATTAAGTTTGAACTTTCTAGAGAACCTCAGAGGCTATACGCCAAAATATTTTTGCTGTAGTTTGGAACTTTTGACCTTTCCTTTATGCACAACGGCTAGATGCATTCATACTGATAACAATAGTAAAAATTTAAATAAATCCCTTTTTAGTTCTTATTTAACTGGGCTTATTGAAGGTGATGGTACAATAATAACACCAAAAACGTTAAGAAGCCCTAAAGGTAAGTTAAATTACCCCGCTATACAAATAGTTTTTCATTTAAAAGATTTACCTTTAGCTCTACTTGTTCAAAAAGAGTTAGGTGTAGGTTCATTATCTAGAAAGAAAGGGGTAGATGCTTATATATTAACCATAAATAGCTATGAAGGTGTATTATTAGTTATTTCATTAATAAATGGAAATATGAGAACACCTAAAATACATAGTCTTAATGCATTAATCGATTTTTTAAATAATACTAAAGGAACCAGTATTGAAAAACATCCTGTATCTAAAGAGTCTTTAGATTCCAATGCATGACTGTCAGGGTTTATAGAAGCAGACGCTTCTTTTCAAGTAAGAACTACTCTTTCGGGTAAATATCCTAAATTAGAATGTAAATTAGAAATATCGTTTATTTTCTTCCCCTGCTGACAAGGAAGGATACCAAGGGGTGAGTTTGATTCGATTAAAGGCGTAAAATCTTTTATGCAACAAATAGCGCAATTTTTAGAAATTCCTGAAGATAGTTTAAAACAAGAAAAGTTTAAAAATTTTGATAAGTTTACCCTTAAAACACAAAATATTAGAAGTAATGAAAAATTAATTAATTATTTGAATTCATATCCTTTATTTTCAAGTAAATTTTTAGATTATAAGGATTTTGTATTAGCCCTAGATATATTTAAAAAGTTAAAAATCAATAAATTAGAGTGCGACCTGGGTAATTTAGATCTCTCTACCTTTAATGAGGAATCTATTACTTCGTATGGTGATTTAATAAATTTAATTAAAAAAAGAATGGGTCATAATAGAACAATATTTATATGGGATCATTTGCAAAATTTTTATAGTTTAAATAATTCGTGGTCGAGCACTTTGTCTAGCTCCTCAGTGAAATTTACCCAACAACTGCAAACTTCGGTAAAAGGAGCCTTTGAAAATAAAAATTTAAATATTAATAAAAATATTAATTCTTCTAGAAAATTTTCTACGAGTTCAAAAACTAATACCTCGGCCGCTAAGGCTGCGGGTATCCTTCGGGTTCCTAATTTAGTTAAGATTAAGAATATTAACGACTTAAAACTTAATAACAATTGTATGATTGTTTCATCAGTTGTTTATAATAATGCTGAAGAATATAAAGATCTAATTTTAGCGGATAATAAGAATAAAGCAGGTATTTATCTTTGGACACACAGAGAGTCTTCCAAGAAATACATAGGCTCTTCTGTAAATTTATCTAGACGATTGTCTTATTATTTTTCTAAAAATATTAATAAGTATAAGACAAGTAAAATATATAATGCTCTTCTAAGTTACGGTTTTTCAGCATTTTCTTTAACTATACTTGAATATACGGAAATAGTAAATTTACCAAAAGACGAGGCTAAAAAACTTATTATAGAACGAGAACAACATTATATAGATATTATCTTACCTGAATACAACATTTTAAAAACAGCAGGATCTTTATTAGGTTTTCAGCATGCAAGTTCTACGATAGTTAAATTCAAAAAAGCTAAAGGAAATGAAAATAACCCCATGTTTGGAAAGTTTCATTCTGAAGAAACTATATTAAAGATGAGTGCGATAAAGAAAGGAAAGGCCAGATTGGAAGAAACTAAGTTAAAGATAGGTTTAACAAATAGTAAAAAACTATTTGTTTTTGTAAATGATCCTCTTTCTGATAGCGTGAAAAAATTATTTAAGTCTTTCGACAATTATTCTGATGCGGCTAACTATTTAAATTGTAGTAAGCGAAATCTATCTAGATATGTAGATAAAAATAAACCCTTAAATAAAAAATGGTTTTTATTTAGTAAAGATATTAATGATTAGTAAACAGTTACAGTTAAGTGTTGGTGGTTGGAGGGACTACTTCTCTCACTCTAGAAATATCTCAAAGACGAGAAGATCACAAAGGATATGATAATTTGGATTTCTTAAGTCATATTGCTGAGTTTTTGTTTTTTTTTTCTAGTAATTTCAGTGAAATTACGTCGAAAAAAAAAGTGAAACAGAAGTAAAAAAAATAAGATCGGATAAACCAAAACCTGAGTATAGAGTTAGAACTACTAACCTTAAAGGTAATATTAATGCTAAAAATTATCTTTTACAATTTCCTCTGTTTGGAACTAAACATTTAGATTCATTAGATTGAATGGAAGTAGTAGACATGTTTGATAGAAAGGAGCATAATACAGATGAAGGAAAGGAAAAAATAGTAAAGATCAAGTCAGGTATGAACAATTTCAGAACAAATTTTACTTGAGATCATTTACAAAACTTCTACAACTTAAAAATATAAGATATGGTCCGATCAAGCACGAGAGTGTTTGCGTACCTACACTAAGTTTTAATAACTTTTTAAGCTTAAAGAACAACACTTTAAGCTATGGGATTTCATCCAGTAGGTCAACAAATTTAACGGGAATTACTATGATATTGACAGATAGAAACTTTAATACATCATTCTTTGAAGTAGCAGGTGGTGGTGATCCTATATTATACCAACATCTTTTCTATATAGGCGGTTTTGTAATATGTATTATTAACCCTACATTTTTTAAAAAATTTAATTTTAATAGCTATCCTAAACCTCACTCATTTACTAGTTTACCATTACAGAGTACAAGTCCATACCCAGGTTGAGATAAACCTAGTGAGCTGAGTGGTAGATATGTTGATTGGCGTAGGGGTAGGTCTAGGATGTCTATAGGTGAAGAATTAACTCAGATAGATGCTGATCTATCTTTTTACGAGGATAGGCATGCAACAGACACCGAAGTTAGTTATAGGGCTAATATTGATGCTCTTATCCACGAAAGAGAGATAGTATTACAAAGGCTACATATTCAACGGATAGCACAGATGCAAGCACTGCGGCAAACACAGCCGCAAGCACTGCGGCAAACACAGCCGCAAGCACTGCGGCAAACACAGCCGCAAGCACAGCGGCAAACACAGCCCCAAACACAGCCCCAAACACAGCCGCAAACACAGCCCCAAACACAGCCGCAAGCACAGCCCCAAGCACAGCCCCAAACACAGCCGCAAACACAGCCCCAAACACAACAGCAAACACAGCCGCAAACACAACAGCAAACACAGAGACCCTCAGATCCGATGTCTATTAGATCGATACTTAATGAGGATAATAAAAATATTTGTGTAGTTGCTATTCGTTTAACAGTATCTTCATTTTTTAGAAATATTATAATGATTTTAAGACCATTATTTATTGGAATAATGCCTTTAGTTTTGTCTGCTTTAGTTCTTTTTATTACACCTTGCATTCTAGAGATTTATACTCTGTTAATTAATATATTAAGTGAATATATTATGTGAACTATTACGATGTTATTTTCAGTTCTATGTTTTTTAATTAGATTATTGCTTATAATACGTAGAGCTAAAAAGTCTGCTGTTCTATATGATAGATTATTTAATTTTGCAGCTAATCATTATTCATCTGGAATACTATACTTTTTTATCTTGTTACTAAGTGTAGTATTAGTCTATTGTTGTGCTTGTAATTGCAATTATGTTTGTGATTGCAATTGTGGTTGCACTATTAGTTGTGATGCACCTAGATGTTGAGGATTATATTTTCAAGATAGTACTGCACAATATTGTTGTTTTTTTTTTTTTTCTGCATTTCGTGAGAAATACAATACTCATTTGCCAAATAATAAAACTCCATCAGAAAACTTTTTAACTTGATTAGTAGGTTTCACTGAAGGAGTAGGTTCCTTTATATTAAACAATAGAGGGGACTTGGCATTTGTTATTACACAAGCTACTACGGATAAACAAGTTTTAGAATTTATACAAGAAATTCTGGGGTTTGGTATAGTTAGACATCCATCGGCTATAACTAATATATATGTAACACAATATAAGAAAGAAATAAATAATATAGTTAGTTTATTTAATGGTTATCTTGTTTTACCAAAAAGACAAGAAAAATTTTATCTTTTCGTTAAAGGGTTTAATAAATGAGTTACTACTGGTAGAATACGATTAGAAAATGTGTTAATTAATAACAGACCTATTCTACCTACTTTAAACAATGCATGGTTTGCAGGATTTACATTATTTTTTTTTTTTCTTTTGCTTAAATCAATCACCAAACATTGCAAAAGAAAAAAAAAAATCAGGAGAAGGTTAGTTTAATTGTTTCATTGGTGAAAAAAGAGGATATAGTTTCAACTTTAATATTTATCAAAAGTGAGAAATAAATCTAACAGTATTAGAGCATTTCAGTGTATTATTTAAAAATGGGATTGTTTCTAGACATTCAGAAGAGAATACTTATGAATTTAGATTAGGTGTAGTAAACAACTGTAAAGATGTCTTCTCTTATTTTGATAAATATAACTTATAAAAAGTCTTTATCCTATATATTATGAAAAGATGTGCATAATGATCTTGTTAATAAATATAATTTAGATGAGTCAAAAAGACAAGAAACGATTGAAAGAGCTAAGATGATAAATAAATCCTATAATATATATTTAAAATACTAGGGCAAAAAAAGTAAAGGTTTAACGTGCAAGTTATGAAACTATAAAGACAGATGTTAAAACATATAAGATCTGATATAGTGAATATTCTTATAAGAATATACCTTAGACTTAGTTGATATTTATAAGTATTACTTGCAACTCTTAAGTTTAAAGGTTATATTCTTTTATATAAAACTTTAAATGTTTTTTATAAATACAAGGAAAAGTAATAAAAATATTAACGATACTAGTGCAATAACGGTCAACAAGTTCCTCACTTAAAGACCGTCGGCCTTTTAAGAGGTCGCTACAGACTGGTTCACTGGTAGGTGTCTGAAATGATGCTTAATGTACAGTCGGTTTCTTCTATCATATTTGTATGATACATAAGCCCGGAGCCTAGACTACCGGTACCTGGATTTAATAAGAGGCTTTTTTAAAAGATAAATTAAATTTGAAGAAATGGATTCTTTGGTCATCCAGAGGTTACGAATGTAGGCCTCTTAACGTTGCTGTATGCTGGGACCCCTTCGTTAGATAGTTCTAAATACTCCTCCTTATATGGCACAGTAAAAAAGTTAGAACAATGAAGGAAATCAGCCGGTAACATTTTATATATAAAAAATGGAACCTCAGAGGCTCTACGCGACGGAGTTGTAGTAAATTTAGAAAATGTTAAACGTGTATCAGATCACGTACCTAAACATTTGAAGCCTCTAAATAATGAACAATTAGGTTATTATCTAGCAGGATTAATAGACGGGGATGGTCATTTTAGTAAAGCTCAACAATTAGTTATAACTTTTAGCTCTCCAGATGCATTTCTAGCCTATTACTTGAAAGGAAGATTAGGTTACGGTAATGTAAGAAAAGTAAAGGACAAAAACGCATACCTTTTAATTGTATCTAATGAAAAGGGTATGTTAAATATAATTAACTTGATAAATGGTAAATTAAGAACAGAACACATATTTAACCAAGTAGTTAATAATGTATTAAGTCATACTAAGTATGCAGATCAAAATATTCATTTTACTATAGATTCAAATAAAAATTTGGATAACCACTGATTAGCAGGTTTTTCTGATGCGGATGCTAGTTTTCAAATAAAAATTATTAAACGTATTACCAGAAATAAACCGGAAATAAGATTAAATTTTCAAATAGATCAAAAAAGTGATTTATTGTTAAATATAATAAAAGAATACTTAGGTGGAAACATTGGATATAGGAAGTCTCAAGATACCTATTATTATGGTTCTACTAATTTCGGTTCTGCTAAAAGGGTTATAGAATATTTTGATCGATATCACTTACAATCTAGAAAGCATATAAGCTATTTAAGATGAAGAAAGGTATATAAATTAATACAAGACAAACAACACTTAACAGATAAAGGGCTATCCAAAATACTAATAATTAAATCTATAATAAATCGTCATGAAGAAAATACTACAACTTAAGATAAAGTCCTAACAAGAATCTAAAAGTTTTTGAGTATTAATGAGAAAAGACTGTTATAATACACAGCTATTCCTTTAATCAAAATATTGTTACATCTTAATCATACCAGGATTTGGTATAATTAGTACTACAATTTCAGCTAACTCCAACAAAAGCGTTTTCGGGTACCTGGGTATGGTATATGCAATGTGCTCTATTGGAATTTTAGGGTTTGTAGTTTGATCTCACCACATGTATACTGTTGGTCTTGACGTGGATACAAGAGCCTATTTCACAGCCGCAACCTTAATTATAGCAGTTCCTACTGGAATTAAAATATTCTCTTGATTAGCCACTTGTTATGGAGGTTCTCTACACTTAATACCCTCATTACTATTTGCATTAGGGTTTGTATTTATGTTTACTATTGGAGGGTTACATATCAACGTGATAGCTCTCCCTCTATTTTTAGATTTGACTACTATATGCTGGGAACTTCTGACAATTATGATACTAGAGTTTTATTTAATCTCAGTCATAAAGCATAATTTTGAACAATCAGCAGGAAACCTACGGATATTTTACAACCATATTAATAGAGAACCTATTAACTCGGGGCGGTTTCGCCACTATTATCTGTGGGGTTCCTCAGAGACTACACGTAGCACTCGGAGTTCATTCCGGGAAAATATAGTCCAAATGAAAAAATGTTCATTAATCTTTCATTCACTAATCTCTGTTACCGCACAACCTTCGTTAGGATACACAGTCAAAACTCGATCTTACTCTTCTTTCAGTAATAACCAGGATAAGAAGATAAGGAACCAAGATAATATTCTAAATGTAAAGGCTGTAAAAGTTTATAGTAACTTAAAGGAAGATAGACTTAATATACTAAAAGAACAAAGAGATAAATCCGGTGTTTACTGTTTAATAAACAAGGTCAATGGGCATTCGTATGTTGGTAGTTCTATTAAATTAGCTTCCAGAATGAGAAATTATCTTAATAAGGCTTTTTTAAAAAGTAAACAAAATGCTAATATGCCTATTACCAAATCTTTACTTAAGTACGATTATTCCAATTTTTCTCTCTTAATTTTAGAATATGTTGAAGCCGAATTTTTAACTTCTAGAGAAACTTTTTATATAGCAAATATTATACCTTATTACAATGTTTTAAAGCAAGGTTTTTCTTATTTAGGTTATATACATACTGAAGAAACAAAAAAGTTACTCTCTGAATTAGCTAAGAATAGAACACATAGTGATGAAACTAAAGGGTTAATAGCAAGGGCTGTAACAGGTGAAAACAACCCTTTTTATAACAAAAGTCATTCTATTGAAAGTAAGATAAGAATTATTGAAGCTAAATCAGCTTACTCTGTTTATGTATACAATTCATTTAAAGAGTTATTAGTTATTTTCCCTTCAGTTAAAACTTTAGCTAAATTAATTAAATCTAATTCTTCAACATTGGTTGATGTAATAAAAGAACACACAATATTTAGAGGAGAATGGTACCTACTTAATATACCTTATAATATTTCAGATACACCTTTAATTTCTCATTGACACTCAAAAGAATGTGAACAATTAGTAGAAGAAATTAATAAGAGTAGTCATATTAAAAAAGCAGTATTTGTATATGATATAAATAAAAATTTTATTGGGAAATATGATGGTGTAATGGATGCTCAAAGAGCATTAAAGGTATCACATAGTACTATTAAAAATTACGCTAAAGTAGGTGGTACTTATAAAGAGTATATTTTTAGTTATGAAAGATTAGTGGATTAATGAATATTTTTTTGTCGTATCAGGAGTAGTTCTTGCGAACGCTTCACTTGATATTGCTTTCCACGATACTTGAGTCTTTAAGTTAAGTATGCTAATACCTAGTTTATTTGTTATGGCCAAGACAGGGTTTGAGGCTACGCCGTCAAATCCTAGTCTTAGTTATAATAGTAATAGCAGTTATAATGATTTATCTGATAACAATAACTATAAAGAGTATATAAAAATGTTTTGAGTAGGGCTAATGGACGGAGATGGAAGTATTCAAGTAAACCATTGGCGTAAACAATCTCTACAATACAGACTAGTTATTAAATTATCTAACCTTAAATCTAATTATAATATGTTGGTTGAGGTTGCTAAAGTAGTAGGTGGAACTGTAATAATTACCGGTAAACAGGCGGATGTTATTTGAGTTGTAAATAAAAAGGAAGAAATTATGAAAGTAATCCAAATTTTTGATACTTATCCTCCTTTAACTTCAAAAAAAATCTGTCAACTTGCATTCTTAAAAACATGTTTAACTGAAACTTCGGTAGAAAAATACTTATTCGCAAGAGATACTAAATTTAAAGAGCAATCTGCTATTATAAATGCTAATTTTAAGGTACCTACTTATTTTAAAGCTTGATTATCTGGTTTTATAGAAGCGGAAGGTTGTTTTTCTATTCGTAAAACGAATACACATTCTTTTTCAATAGGACAAAATGACGACGTTTATTTAATAGACGGTATAAAACAGTATTTTGAAATATCAAATAAAGTTCGTAAACCTTACGGTAACTTCTATTTTATAGAGGTATACAAGAAAGAGGTATTAGCAAAAATAGTGGCACATTGTACTAACTATCCTTTGTTGGGAGAAAAGTTAGAGTCTTTAAAAAAATTTAGAGCTTGCTGTGTTCTTTAGTAGGTGTCGTGTTGTCTTGTCACCATGAAAAATTACATACGTTTTTCGGTAAAATTATTAATTTTGCTAACGGTGAAGTCTAGGCCTCTATTGACCATTTAAAAACATTATTAATAAAACAGATTTTGACTTACTTTTATCTACATATCTACGAGGTATTTTTATTAATAATGATGGTCGTAATTATATATATGAATAAAATATTAACAACAAGAGAAAATAAGGGGTTATTTTACAATTCTGCATTAAAGACTAGATCGTATTCTGATGGTAAAAAAAGTAACTCTTTCCCTCCCGGGGACCCTTCCGAGACAGGGTCCCTAATCCCCCGTGAGGGAATAAAGGGAAGAGGATTAGATCCTAATTGAGTAACTGGATTAGTAGATGCTGAAGGTTCTTTTATTGTTTTTATAAAATTAAATCCAAATAACAGTAAGAACCTAGTACGGCAAATAGAACTGTCTTTTGAGGTATCTTTTCATATTAAAGATATAGAATTACTCTATAAATTAAAATCCTTTTTTGGAGAAGCTGGTACGATTTTTATTCCATTAACTAGAAAAGATGCTAGATTAAAAATAACAGGATTGAACGAGATAGTTAATTTTATAATTCCTCATTTTAAACAGTACCCTTTACATGGTATGAAAAAAATAGATTATGATCTATGATCTGAATGTGCAGAATTGTTACAAAGTAAGCAACATTTACAAGAGAAAGGGTTAAATAGAATATTATCAATAAAATCTGTACTTAATAATGGATTATCTGATAAATTAAAAGCTCTTTTCCCTTCTGTAATAGCAATAGATAGACCTGTTTTGGATGTTGCCAATATTCCATTAAATCCTAATTATGTCAGTGGGTTTACCGAGGGAGACGGTTGCTTCACTGTAAATATTTCTTCTACCACTAAGCAAATTTCTGCTTATTATGTTATTGAACTACATAAAAGGGAAGTTCCTTTATTATCAAGCATACAAAAATTTTTTGGAGGGGTGGGATCTATAAATATCGCATTAAGTAGAAATACCGCTCGATTTTCTATAAGTAAAAAATCAGACTTGATAAGTAAGGTATTGCCTCATTTTGATGCACATAAATTGGAAGGTAATAAGCTTAAAAATTATCTAATCTTTAGAGAAATTGTTCTATTACTTGGTTCTAAAGCGCATTTAACTCAAAAGGGGTTTGATAAAATAAAACTTCTTAAAGAGGGTTTAAATAATTAAAGTAGATAATTTATTAGCCTCGGCGTCTTCTTTGCTTAGCAAAGAAGACTGAGGCTGTAATTTTTTTTTACATATTTCATGATATATGTAAAAAAAAAAATAACCGGAATAAAATACATAAAGACGATTACATGGCGTATATATACTTTACTTATTATTTTAAAGCGGGTAATAAGAAAGAGCGTGCTAGATAATACCGTGGAAACCAAAGATAATTTATTTATTACTATATATTGGGTTTTTCTTGGGTTTGTCCTTATGTGTTTTCTCAAGGCGGAAAATATAAGGGTCTCCCCATGTAAGGTAATACCGTGGAAACCAAAGTGAATAAATTTATTCTCGAGTAGGATCCGTAGAGACTAAACGTGACAATCGAAAGTTTATTAAGTTAAATCATTAGATAAGTTATAGTCCGATCCACTGCGTGAGCAGTGTTGTATGTTAATAAATGAGCAACTTAATTGACCTACTACGTAGTTGCTCATTTTCACTACGTTTTAAGTATGGGTGCTGTATTTGCCTTATATAGTGGATGATATTTCTGAGTTCCTAAAATATTAGGATTAGATTATAACTTACTTTACTCTAAAGCTCATTTCTGAGTTTTATTCACTGGGGTTAATTTAACTTTTTTCCCTCAACATTTCTTAGGTCTACAAGGAATTGAGTGTAGTTCCCCCTTATATATTAATAAAGATAAGGAGCATAAGAGGATGAATTTCAAGAATAACTGTAAAGTCAACTTGAAGCGAAGCTTATTTTTAAAGTAAATTCATTTATATAATTAATAATAAGAACGTTCAACGACTAAAAGGAAAATCTTTATGATTACAACCTTCCATTAGTATCCTCCGTCAAATAAACTTTAAATACAATGACATATTAAAGTAAGACGATGACATAGTCTGAACCCATATGTGAATATGGGAGTTAAAGGTAAATCCTTTAACGTAACATAATTGGCCACGTAGAATTAGTGATTATCCTGATGCCTTTACAGGTTGAAACTTTATTAGTAGTATTGGTTCTATAATATCTGTAGCTGCAACAGCTCTTTTCTTACAAATTGTATACTTACAACTTGTTAAAGGGAAAGCTATCTTTGGATACCTTTGAGCCGTTCCTCAATTATTTAGTGATTATTTACGTATACTTAAAGATACATGTGCTCCAGGATTAGAATGAGCATTACACAACCCACCTAAACCTCACGCATTTACTAGCTTACCTTTACAAAGTGGTATTATTGATGAGGTTAAAGCTTTTAAAGGTCGTGTGGATAGGGTGCCTACTGAAGAAAAATTACGTGAAGAAGCTAATCAGAACCCAGCTACCGTTAGAAGTATTGCAGATCAATGAAAGCAAAATACGGATAGGGATAAAACCCAATTATTAGCTAAAATAGATATGAACAAAAACAATGGTACTATTTCTGAGAGTACAGCTGAGCATCTGGGACATAAAACAAATGTTTATGCTAGTAAAGTACATAAAATTATAGAAGAAACATCTAATACTGCCGTAGATCGTATAGATGATACCGAAGATACAGCCCATTTACTTTTCGATCTTCCATGATCTAGCTTTGTTTTAGAGACACCTCTTATAAGAGTACTGTTTTTAGCTTATACATTCTATGTATCAGGTATATATTCAATGTTAAAATTACAATTAATATGTAATTTCAAAAGTTATGCTAAAACTTTATTAGTTATTCTAATTTCATCCTTAATTATTTATTATATTTTTTATTGTAGTGTTATTAACTGTGATGCACCTAGAGCTTGAGGACTTTACTTCCAAGATAGTGCTAGCCCACAAATGGAAGCACTAGTAGAATTACATGAATTTTTGTGTATAAGAATCAAACTCCGGGGACATCCTAAAGCTCTAACTACCAAGGATATACAGTCCATTTATATCCGGCTTAACTAATAACTAAGGTAAGGTAACAAGGTTAGAGATAGAAGTTAGAACAACTTAAAATGGACAATCGCGGATCTAAATCAGTAAAATAATCTTTTATTGTAAAAGAGCAACGAGTAGATGATTCTTCAGTTTTAACTGTAAGGTGTACTCTGGCCCTTTGAGAAATCAAAGTATCTAAATAAATATATATATAGCATGAAAAAATACTAGCAGGCTCTATTTAAACCCTTCCAGGGCGCTCACCACTTCTCACTTTTAAGTGAGAAGTTTACGGTAAGCCATACGAAATACGAAGTCTACCTCAAGAGCTTTATGTAATAGCCGGGGACTTTTTTGCGTAGTACCGTCACCTGGCTGGGTCAGAGCTTGCTTAAATTTATACCGTAAAAACGCGGAGATGAGAAATAGTTTATTATTAATCTCGATTTAATAATATAAAAACTTAGTATGTAAAGACTTACGAGTTTAAAATACTTTCTAGGTAAGCTTTTTGCTCGAGCCGAACTTATTTAAGATTCGTACGGTATACGGCGAAAATGTTTATATCTTATATTATTGAATAAATATACGGAAAATTACTTGTGGTTAAACCTTGCGTGACGTAATGATCCTAAATTTGGATCGAATACGCATTCAGCTGAATTTAACCTAAATTCTGCTTTTCCTGCTAATTTAAATAAGTTACACCCTGCTTATGTGACAGGGTTTTGTGATGGTGAAGCATGTTTTCATTTAGCCATAGGTGAAAACTCTAGATATAAATTAGGTTATTATGTTAATCCTGGATTTACTCTGGCTTTACACAAAAAGGATGAAGAATTCTTATTATTACTTAAAGAGTTTTTTGGTGGTGTAGGGGTTGTAAAATCTAGTAGTCGCCCTAATATGGTAGAGTATAGAATTTTAGCTATTAAGGATTTAGATGTTATTCTAAACCATTTTGACCTTTACCCTTTAATCACAAAAAAAAAAGGAGATTACTTACTGTTCAAGGAAGCCTTGGAATGTATCAAAAATAAACAACATTTAACTGTTGAAGGGTTTAATAAAATTCTGGCTATAAGGGCTTCTATTAATAAAGGGTTGCCCGCAAACCTACAGGAAAAATTTCCTTATATTAAGGGGAAAGAAATACCTGTGGTAGTAGTACCTGAGAGTTTGAACCCTTACTGGGTAGCCGGGTTTATGGACGCTGAAGGTTGTTTCTTTGTAAAGTCTCTTTATAATAAGAATAATGAGCTTAGATTTGTGCTAGGTTGCCAAATTACACAGCACAGTCGGGATTCTTTAGTTATGCACAAAATTTGTTCTTTCTTTAACTGCGGTAGAGTTGAAGTATCTAGAATGATTTACGATAATTATGTTGTAACTAAGTTACCAGATATAAATAAAATTATCATCCCTTTCTTTACAAAATACCCAATACGGGGTTCTAAGCGTAAAGAATTTGAATGTTGGGTGGATGTCGCCAAACTAATGAGTTCGAAAGCTCATCTTACTAAGGAGGGATCTGAGAAGATATTACAAACAAAACTTCAAATGAATACCTTTAGGAAGGAAGATGGTAATAATTAGAGACATTTTGTAGTATTAGCAATAGAAAATCTAGGATTCATTAATTTATATAGCGTACGAGTATATAATAAATTGATGAGAAAATAGCAATTAAATAACCTTAATCCCAACACAAATATAAAGAGTGATTACTCAAATTAGTAGGATTATTTATTGGTATATTAAACATAATAAGTTAAAAATATAAATGTTCTCTCTGCTGCCTACCGTAAACTAAGGTTTAGTGGAGGGATTTATAAGGGGGCATAAGCTCCCACGGCAGGGTTTATAGACTTATTGTATTTTAATGAAATAGCGGATAATATTATGTATTACTTAGTAGCAATTTTATTTGCTGTGGGGTGAATACAAGCAGCTATAATTAGAAACTTTGATAGTTCTAAATCTCCTATTAGTAATAAATATCTTAACCACGGTAGAAGTGTGCCTGTTCAAAAGTGTTCTAAGATTAAATGAAACAGCTTATTAAATTTTGATATGTTTTCTGTACGCAACCTTTTAAAAGTGCGAGCTTATTCTACATATATCTCTAAAGATAACAGTTATTCTAGTAATGTCCATATTACTCCTTCTGTAGTCTATGAAGATGCTTATTCTATGAAAAAGGCAATCTTAAAGGAAAACAAAGGTAAAGCAGGTATTTACATGTTAACTAATAAACTCACATGTGATATTTACGTAGGACAATCTATTGATCTCCGTAAAAGATTCATGAAATATTTTAGCTTAAGCTATATAAATAGCAGGAAAGAGCTTATAATAAGTAGAGCCTTAATTAAATATGGGTATTCCAATTTTTCTGTAACTATTTTAGAGTATTGTAATGAATCTGATTTAGATGTCAAAGAACAATACTACTTTGATAAATTAAATCCTCAGTATAATATTCAAAAAATAGCGGGTGGTAGTTCTAAAGGCTTAAAATTGTCTGAGGAAACTAAATCCAAAATCAGTAAATCTCTAAAGGGAGTATATGCTGGAGAAAAGGCTTATTGATATGGTCGCTCTATGAGTGAAGAAACTAAAAACCTTATGAGCTTAAAAAGAATAGGTGAACTTAATCCTTTATACGGAAAATCTCATAGCGAAGAATCTAAAGAGCTAATTAGACAAAAAGCTTTAGGTAGAAAATATTCTGAAGAAACTAAATTACTAATGAGCACAAAACGTGGAAATCCTGTTAATATTTACGAAAAATGTACATCTGAAGGATTTAAGTTAATAGGAAGTTTTGTTTCAGCTAGAAGAGCTAGTAAATTTTTAGATATAAGTGGAAGCACTGTTGTAAGATATATGAAATCAGGGGCGATATTTAAAGACAGATATAAATTTTCGTCCAGATAATAAGCAATAAACTTAGAAAAACTATGAATTTAATTTAACTGAATGCTGGAAGGTTCTAAAGCCTTTGATACTATAATTATCTTCCCTGTATACAATGGGAGCCTTAGTGACCTAGAGTATTATAGCGGGTAGGATTAATAATTATAAGTGATAACTCTTCTCCTACGGAGGGCTACGCGCTACGCCCCAATGAGGAGACCCCATTACCATGGAGTATAATGATGGTAGTCGGGAAAGGATGTAACAATGAATAACCTAGCAGGAAACCAAAACAATAATTATTTATATTATGAGTAGGTAATCCCCAGAGACTAAACGTTAAATATCCTGTTGATTAACTGGATAATGAGATAGTCCATAATTTTTGACACTAATAGAGTTAATCTGAACTATAACTCCAGCCTTGATATTAGTACTAATAGCTTTTCCTTCTTTTAAATTATTATATTTAATGGATGAAGTTACAGATCCTTCATTATCTGTATTAGCAGAAGGTTCCTTTTTAGGTGGCCTTAAATTATCTATATTATATGGTTTTTATAAAATAAAAGATGCCAGTAGTATAAAGCATATAACTGGAGAAAAAAACAATACTTGTGTATCTTTTAATAGACTAGCTCATGTCAAAGATACTGATTACACATTATACCTTAAACCCACTAAACTTACTAGCTTAGAGTTAAAAAGAACATTTCATACGAAGGTTAGAGCTTCTAATAGAATAGGGCCTCATAACCAAGATGTTTTATCTGTAATAGTAGGTTCTTTACTAGGAGATGCTTATGGAAATGCTAGAACAATAGAAGGAACTAGAATTTCATATAGGCAAAGCAATATTCATACAGATTATTTATTTTGGTTATACGAGTTTTATTTTCAAAAAGGTTACTGTTCAAACCTAAAACCGAGGAAATATATAAGAATAGTTAAAGGTAAAGAGTACTATGGCCATGAATTTAATACTTTTACTTTTAGAAGTTTTAATTGAATTCATAAATTATTTTATAAAAATGGTATAAAATATATAAACCCTAAGTTAGAATTATATTTAACTCCTTTAGCTTTAGCTGTATTAATTATGGACGACGGGTGTTGAACAGGTAATGGGGTTAGAATTGCTACTAACTGTTTTAAATTAGATGAAGTAAAATTATTAGCAAATATGTTAAACTTTACGGTTTAAATTATACGATTCAAAATATAGAAGGTCATTACTCTATATATATTACAAAAGATTCTATACCAAACCTAAAAGGTCTAGTACTACCATATATAATACCTAGTATGGTATATAAATTAGGAATAAAAAAAAGTAGTCAACAAGTATAAGTTCTTTTAATAAACATATGATATATTTAATAGTCGTGAGATTAATAAAAAGAAGTAACTAAATAATAGAGCCATATATAGTTAACATACTTAAATAAGTATAAGTTTCAATTTATTCATTTCTAAGATCTCGACAGGGATCTTTAAGAAGTAAATAGCTTCTTTGGCGACACGAGTGAAAACAGTCAACATATTATTATTTTTCAATATCGCCTTTTAGGTATAATAATACAAGACTGTCAGTAAATAATTTTGTTTTTTCTTTATTTACCGCAACAGACTGGGTCGCTTGTGGGTGGCTAATTCTAATAGCTGCTTAATGTACAGTCGAGAGGTTAGTTTATAATCTCGCACCAATTAGGGTTTTCAGGGTTTAACGTTTATATACTTCAAAGGATATTTTGGAGGTTTGAGCGTATAAACCCTTTAAATAAAGAGCATGATTATGCGTATTCTATACCTATGCGTGCTTGATATATTCACAATAAATCTTTGATAGGGCTTAACTCTAAACAATGTTGTTATTATACAACTGTTGCAAGATCTCTTAATTCGTCTAGTGAGTATGTGCCAGGTAGCGCAAAAACACAAATTTCAGCTCCTGCATTGAATCCTTGATTAGTTACAGGGTTTACTGATGCGGAGGGGTCTTTTATGGTTAGTTTTACTAAATCATCAGAATCCCGGCATGGTTTTAGAATACGTGCTATTTTTCAAATTCAGCTACATAAAAAAGATCTGGAGCTTTTGAAAACTATTCAGGCTTTTTTTCAGGGAATAGGTCATGTCTCCAGCTCAAAGGAATTTGTGTCATTTAGAGCGCGTTCTCTAGATGATCTTCAAGTTATAATAGCTCATTTTGATAAATACCCACTTAAAACTAAAAAACAAGCTGATTTTGAACTATTTAAATGCGTTGTTAATAAACTTTCACTTAAAGAACACTTAAGTTTTAAAGGTTTTAAAGAGATTGTTAGCATAAGAGCTTCTATGAATTTAGGTTTGACTGATGCTTTAAATAGAGCTTTCCCAGAAGTTAGTCCTGTTCCCAGACCTACAGTAAAAGATAAAAAGGTAATAAACCCGGATTGACTTGCAGGATTTGTTACAGGTGAGGGTTGCTTTTTCATAAACATTTCAACATCTGCCTCTAATAAAATAGGTTTTCAAGTTTTCTTTTTATTTGCTTTAACTCAACACACTAGGGATAAATCTTTATTGGAAGCAATTAAAGATTATTTAGATTGTGGGGCAGTTAAAGAAAGTTCTAGTAGAATGAATGTTTTAACTCTTAAAGTTGTTAAATTTAATGATATATCTGAAAAAATTGTACCGCTTTTTAATCAGTACAAGATTTTAGGTGTAATATCTGAAGATTTTAATTCTTGATGTCAAGCTATAGAACTAGTAAAAGATAAAAACCAGTTAACTTCTAAAGGGTTAGAGGAAATTAGACAAATAAAATTTGGAATGAATACAGGAAGACCAGTAAGCCCTTAAAAGACTGTAGTTGTGAGTCTAAGCCTTTAATTAGATTTATGTGAATATATATATTAATTATATTAGGAGGAGTTAGGTGAAATTATAAACTTAAATAGTAGTTTATTAATTATCTTCCAAGTATTATAATTAAAAATAAAAAAAATAAACTTTGCACCAATGATATTGATCCTACGAATATCCAGATTTCTTAAATAGTGATGGAGATTTTGTTGAATTTGATTCTTATTTAGTTCCTGAATCTGATTTAGAAGAAGGAGCGCTAAGAATGTTAGAAGTGGATAATAGAGTGAAAAGGCCTTAAGCAAGCCTTACCGACTCTCAAGTAGCCAAACTCCGGGTAAATCCTAAGAGCTCAGAATACTAACCTTTTCACCTAAAAGGGTAAGGAAAGGGGCCAAACTAATTATTTGGGTATAGTAACAAGTTCTGAGATTTAACGAAAGTTTGAATGGAAGTTCGCGGATCTAAATCACCTCTTTTTCGGTATAGGTTGCTTAATATGGCGGCTTTACCGCAGTATAGCTTCCTTATGATTAATGTGTAAAAGAGCAACGAGTAGATGGTTACTCGCCATATATTAGGTTAAAACCTCGATTACCTCAGAAAGTGAGGGTAGATATATGGTGTAAGGTGTACTCTAATAGCCAATTACTTTTTATCTCTTGTGGTTTATAAGATAATACTTATTGGGGGGAGGTTGTCTCCCCCAGGGTAAAGATTCGCCCTAGAGATAAACTGAATAAAATCGTAAACGAGGCGTTATGTCTTTAGCTTATACCTAATAGTCGGAAAATCTACTCATGGTAAAAGAAGATTAAAGCATGTCAGTGTTCTTGGGTTAAGATATGTTAGACCTAATATTTTTCAAATAAAAAATATTGGGTCTTTCATCCCAGAGGGACTTAGACCTAATATTAAAAGGGTCAAACATTCTTTGAATGCTTTAGGTATAAAAAAATATAGCGCGCCTCGTGTCGGTCCTAAACCATCTAAGTTAAGTCCGTGATTTATCACAGGTTTCACAGATGCAGAGGGTTGTTTTTCTATCTCAATATATAAAGATTCTACGCGTCCGATAGGCTGAAGAGTATGTGCAGAATTTCTAATTGGGCTTCATAAAAGAGACGAAAGGCTTTTAAGAGAAATTCAAGCATATTTAGGTGGTATTGGGCGTATAGGTAAATTTGCTAAAGATGCCTATGCTTTAAGAGTAAATAATATAGGTCAAATGATAAAAATAATTGAACATTTGGATAAATACCCTTTAATTTCTCAAAAACATGCTGATTATCTTCTCTGAAGAGAGGTAATTATGATGATGCAGCGAAAAGAGCATATAACCCCAAAAGGGCTTTTAACTGTTATTAGTTTGAGAGCTTCTTTGAATTTAGGCTTATCAGAGAGTTTAAAGATAGCTTTCCCGGATATCATCCCCGCCATCAGGCCTAAAGTTGAGAATATAACTATTCCAGATGGTGAATGACTAGCTGGATTTACATCTGGTGAAGGTTGTTTTTTTGTTTTTGTAAGTAAATCTTTAACGCATTCATTAGGTTTCAGAGTTCAATTAGTATTCCAAATAACTCAACACTCTCGTGATGAGAAATTAATGGAAAGTTTAATCTCTCATTTAGGTTGCGGTAGATTAGTAACTAGTTCTGATGGTAAAGTGCAGTTTAGAGTAGTAAAATTTACGGATATTTATGAAAAAATCCTTAAATTTTTTTACGATTATAACATTAGAGGGGTAAAACTTGAGGATTTTAAGGATTGATCTACGGTTGCTAAATTCATGCGAGATGGGGAGCACTTAACTACAGATGGGCTTAATAAGATTGTAAAAATAAAAGCGGGTATGAACAAAGGAAGAGCTTAATTTTTCATCTTAACTTTAATCCTTTGTTCTTTAGTCTATCGGTATCGAGAATCTGAAAGATATAAAAATGAAATTCTCGGAAACGAGGCGTTATGTTCTCAGCTTATTCCTAAGGGTGAATATATTAATTTAAATATTAAATACTCTCCTATATATCCCCTGCGGGGTTTAGGAAAAAGAGAACCAAGACGTGTTATACTACCTGAGATTACACACACTAGGTTTATTCTTACTGCTGCAGATGAACTGAGGACCTTTAGCAAGTACCTCTTAACGTCTATACACTATCAAATTCCGGGGACACCCTAAAGACCTTTTAACTAAACGTTTATCTCAAAAGGTTAAGCGTGGCTGTGTTAATGATCATAGGTATAGTAATATCAAAAGGTATATACGAAAGTTAAATGGGTTATCGCGGATCTAAATCACCTAGTTACCTTATTTGGTTATCCTGCAATCTTGTAACTCACGCTACAGCAGCAAAGAAAGATTGCTAGGCTACATCCTTATTATAGTGTAATAGGTTGTAAAAGAGCAACGAGTAGACGGTAGTGGTCTATAATAGTAAAAGAGGGTTACACTCCACTATTCTAGATTAAGGTATACTCTAGTCGACCTGATTACAGGTCGTTGAGTTTATAGCTAAACCTAAAATCTAAATATTTTAACTATTTATCTACACAATGGGGCAAACCCTTATTTTACTAGTCTGTGATATATTTGCGTACAATTTTTTGAATAAAATGAAACTAAACTTTTAGATTATGGTAAAGTAAGCTCTCGATTAAATATTCTTTTGCCTTCCTAATTATAAATAAATTTTCTGGCAACCCAAGACCACGTAATCTAGTTTCTGTCCTTAAATACAGTATTATGTTTATAAGAACAAGAACTTTACCAAATATGTATGGTTGTAGGTTTTATTCGGAAAATAACGACCATCGTATCACAAGTGAAGTAATTAATAAAGTACTAGCTAATCAAGGTGTTTCTATTACACAAAAGGAACAGGATATATTGTTAAATATTAAGGGTGTAACTTTTGACTTACCCTTCAATGATCAAACATTTCCAGCTTTATTTGGTTTAGTAGGTAAACCGGCTTTACTGGTTTACCCTCCAAAGAACGGTAAACCTAAAAGCAGAAGACCTAAGGCCGGTATATATATTTTTACACACTTAGCTACGGGTAGAAAATATGTGGGGTCAAGTAATAGTCTTTCAAGAAGATTAGAACAATATTTTAACCCTAACCCTTTATTTTATAAGGAATATGGTTTATTACTTCCTTTAATTAAAAAAGAAGGGTTTTCTGCTTTTAATTTGGAAATATTTGTTATGCCGGAGGAATTAAGCTCAGACTATTACTTTTTATTTTTGGAACAATATCACTTATTAGATAGTAATTTTAACTTAAATACTCAAAGAGTTGTTAATTTTAGAGTTAAGCAAGGAAATACTGTTTATTTATATGATTTTGAAGGTAAGATTTTATATTACACTGCAACTTCTTTAAATGGATTGAAAGCTGATTTAGGTGTACATCATGCTACTGTTACAAAATGTATAAAAACCGGATCACTTTATCTAGATGATTTTATAATTACAGATAAACTAAAACCAGATGCAAAAAAAGCTGGTTTATCTTTAGAAGAGTTATCTAATCTTATTTCGGATAAAAGATCTTTATTTCTAAAAAAAGATTTTTCTTTGAAAAACAGTAAATCAATCTGTATTAAACAAGATGTTACAGGAGTAACACAAAATTTTCCTAGCATAACATCATTAGTTAAATACTTTGATAGCATAAATATTAAGGCTAACCGTAATAAGATAGCTAGTTGTTTAAATACCAACGAATCTTATTTAGGTTACACTTACTATATTGGTACAAGCTAAATAATACCAAACTATAAGTATTGGGTGACAACCAACCCATATATAAGAGAGTTCCAACAAAGTAGTATAAAAATAAAATATTTAGATCATGGAAAAGTAAACTCTCGGTTATCCATTCATTTGCAATTCCTGCATTAGGGGTAAAGTGTGATGCATACCCAGGTAGATTAAACCAATTTTCTGTTCTTATTAATAGATTAGGAACATTCTATGGTCTTGAACAATGGCCAAAACTGTAGTGAACCTATGGTTATAAATCATCAAATTGACGGGAAACCCCTAAAGAAATCTTAACTAAGTAAGTATGGTAACATAACTTATGGCACAGGTAATGACTCGTGGTACAGTAACATCAAGATTTATTATTCAATGGGCAATCCGCAGCCAAGTACCAAGTATTAAATATTTGGTATGCAGTTCATCGACTAAACGGTGGTTGGTATTATTAGTGTTAATAATGCTTAAGATATAGTCAGACCCCTCCTGAAAAGGTGCAGAAAAATATAAGCATTCTTTATATTTTTTGTTAAATAGATATATATTAATTTGTTGATTATATTTAGGGATTTCTACGATAGTTTGCTAAACTGTTTTAATGGAAAAATAAATATTTATACAAAAAAAAAGTAAAGCACTTGTTATTATTGTAGTGTTTGCATTATACAATTAGTAGGTGTGTATTTAATAAGCACTACACATTTTATAAACGTATGGGTTCAATAGCTGTTATATCTCTAACTAGAAATTATAGTGCAACTAGATCTTTATATTCAATAAGACCTTTGGCAAGTAGTCCAGAGTCTTTAGCGTTAGATCATATCAATAGTGAAAAACCTACTAATTCATCCATTATTAATAAAATATTATTAAATCAAAATTTATCCGTTACTGACTCTAAATTAGAAGAATTATTAAAAGTTAAAGGTGTTGAATGGGATCTTCCTATATCTACACCGGAAAATAAACAACTTTTAGCTGAGTTAACAGGTAAATCTAAATATAAAGGTTTCTCGGGTGTATATATCTTTATACATAAAAATACAGGCCATAAATACGTAGGTTCATCTAATTTATTAAGACGTAGAATGGATTATTATTTTAAAGGTGATTTTCCTTTAAGTGGTAAATTTTTACCTTTACTTCACAAACAAGGGCTAAAAGCTTTTAAATTAATAATATTTAAATTAGATTGTAGTATATTTAGTAATAAAGACTATTTAATCTTAGAACAGTATTATCTATTAAATAAAGAATTTAACTTGAATACATTAAGAGTTGTTAACGCAGGATCTTCAAAAGGTGATCCTGTATATGTTTATGATTTAACTTGTAGTACTCTTTATTATCATGCGAAATCTAAGATTGAACTAAAAAGAGTATTAAAAATACATACTGAAACTAGTAAAAAGTTTGTAGATTCTAAAAAACCATATCTTAATAAATTCTTACTATTAAGCTATTCTATACCTACTGCTTTAACAAGCAATATTTCGGTGGATAAATTAGTAGAGATTATGCTAAAAGAAAGACAAGATGTGTATACGTTAGGAACTCGTAGAAGTATATCAGTAGAATTAGAGATTAAAGAAGGAAATACTTTTGTAAATTCAGATTCTATAGGCCAAACTTTAAATTTCGATTCATTAACATCTTGTATTGAATACTTAAGAGAATTAGGTTTAACGATTAAAAGAGCCACTCTCACTAAATACATAAAAAATGAAAAAGTGTTTCATAATTTCTTATGTAAATATTCAGATAATATTTTACCGGATCATTTTTCAGAATTAGGATTAATCATTGATGAATATAAAAAATTAAAAGTAGATGCAGACTTAGATACCTTAAAAGTGAATAGAAAAAATAAACCTATATTAGTAAAAGGAGAAAATTTTGAGAAAGAATTTGAAAGTATTACGGATACAATTAAATACTTTGGTACTTTAAATATCAAATTAGATAGAAAAGCTCTTTATCTTCATTTAAAAGACGGTAGAAAATATAAAGACTATTCTTTTTCTCGTAAATAACTAAATAATAGTTAAAAAATATCATACTTTCTTTCACTGGTGTAGTAATAAGTATTATTCAATTACATAAAATAAACGTAGAAATAACCCGCAATGTTCAGAAATTTGTGGTATCTTACACAGTTCTATGCCTATAGTTGTAGAATCTGTATCCCTAGAGAAATTCTTATCTTGATTACAAGAACAATAGTAGGATAAAACCTATCTAAGAACTCTCTACATATTTCTCTAAAATAATGGTTATTTTACCGTTAACTTGTTATGAAAGGTAATACCTTTACCATATAGTATAACAAATCCCAGTATATAATTTTATATTTACTAGAAAATTGCAAGGTAGATTTATATTTACACAGTAATTAAGGGAGAAGATTAGACCTATGTTTAGTAAAGCCCTGTTAAAACCCTTATGGTTAAATTTAGTAATTACCCGTATATTAGAAGTAAAGTAATTACCCGTTTATTAGAAGTAAAGTAATTTATTTTATAAACATATGTGGCAGGTCAATTTTTATATGTATATATTCCCTCGCTAAGGAGTAATATGTTGATTTCAAGATTTTTGTATTTAATATGTTTTCGTCCGCAGTTTCTTATGAAGCTAGAGAGTAGATAGTGAACTTTACACGGTAACTTTCTACACTTATATTATATACTTAGTGGATTTACGAAATTTGG